TGAGATGGAGGTTGTTATCCTGGCACCAAGATGTCAGGTTTTCGACCTCCTCTCTGTACGCCGTCTCGTCATCGTCTGTGATCTGGCCGATGACGGTCGTGTTATCAGCAAACTTCACGATGGTGTTGGAGCTGTGTGTGGCCCGCAGTCGTGGGTGAACAGGGAGTAGAGGAGAGGGCTGAGCACGCAGCCTTGAGGGGCACCGGTGTTTAGAATCAGGGTGGAGGATGTGATGTTTCCCACCCGCACTGCCTGGGGTCTGCCCGTCAGGAAGTTCAGGATCCAGTCACAGAGGGCGCTGTTGAGCCCGAGGTCTCTGAGCTTGATGGCCAGCTTGGAGGGCACAATGGTATTGAATGCTGAACTGTAGTCAATGAACAGCATTCTCACATATGTGTTCCTGTTCTTCGGGTCCAGGTGTGAGAGGGCAGTGTGGAGGGTGAGGGCTATGGCGTCGTCTGTGGACCTGTTTGCTCTGTAGGCAAACTGCAGGGGGTCCAGAGATTCAGGGAGGGAGGAGGTGATGAATGATTTGACTAACCGCTCAAAGCACTTCATTATGATGGAGGTGAGTGCTACTGGGCGGTAGTCGTTGGGGCAGGTGATGATTGTCTTTTTCGGGACAGGAACGATAGTGGAATGTTTGAAGCATGTGGGGACTACAGACTGCAGCAGGGACCTGTTGAAGATGTCTGTGAACACCTCTGCCAGCTGAACTGCACACACCCTGAGAACACGGCCAGGGATGCCATCAGGTCCAGGAGCCTTGTGTGGGTTAACCCTTTTAAAGGATTTACACACATCTGCCCTATTTAAAACAAAAGGGCAGTGTAGCTCCTGGTCCCTCTGTACCTCCACAGCCTGGCTGCTCTCAAAGTGTGCAAAAAAACTGTTCAGCTCATCTGGGAGAGATGCGCACACAGACACTCCCGCAGCACCCCCCGCTGCTCCTTTGTAGTCAGTCATTGTCCTTAGTCCCGCCCACATATTCCTGGTGTTACAGCCTTTGAAGTCAGATTCCACCTTCTCTTTGTACTATCTCTTTGCATTTTTAATTGCTCTCCGGAGATCATACCTAGACTTCCTGTACTCCTCCAAATCCCCCGCCCTGTGCGCGATAGTGCGCGCTTTCAGCTTGCCGCGCACATCGGAGTTTATCCAGGGCTTTTGATGTCCGTACAGAAACCTTCGGTACCACGTCATCGATGCATTTCCCAATGTAGCAGATGACAGTGTCCGTGTGTGTGTTGATGTTATTGTCCTCAAACACACTCCAATCCGTGGATGCAAAGCAATCCTGCAGTGCTGAATCTGACTCCTCGCTCCATCGTTGTACTGTCCTTGTTATCGGTCTGACCCTTTTAAGTTTCTGCTTGTACGCAGGCAACAACAGTAGTGAGATATGGTCTGATTTGCCGAAGGGAGGGCGAGGGAGAGCCTTATATCCATTCCGGAAAGGGGAATAAACATGGTCCAATATGTTTCCCCCGCGCGTCGGGAAGTTGATGTGTTGGTAATATTTTGGCAAAACCTTCTTCATGTTGGCGGTGTTGAAATCTCCGGCCACAACGAACGCCGCATCTGGCCGTGAAGTCTCGGTCTTATCAATAATCCTGGATACAGTTTGCACCTCACCGTCACATTCCTGTCTATTCTTCGGACGAACTCAAAATAATCGGCATACCTCCACCCCTCGAAAGTTATCGCTGACTCAGCCATGTTTATGCAGCACTGCACGCGGAGATGTGGACGCGCAAGTCGCGCAGATTACGTATAAACCTGCGGCGGAAACCCCTCTTGTCTGTCAGTGTGATTATGACTGATTTTATAAAAGTAACGAAGTAACGCGTGTCGGGGCAATGTTAGTAACTGTAGTGTGATTACTGAATTATAAAAGTAACGCGTTACACTACTCCGTTACCGACAAAAGTAATATTATTACAGTAACGCGTTACTTTGTAACGCGTTACACCCAACTCTGGTTATTATACAGTAAATAACATTACTTAACAGCGACCCTGTTACAGACAAAACTCTGACTATAATATAAAAAAACGTAATATGTTATAATCTAATTTTACCTTTTTGTTCTTCAAACCGTTATTCCACTGGTTCAATCTTTAGAGATGCATTATGTTAAAGTTTATAAGAAATATTTGAATACAGAATCTTAATTTTAAAAGTATGTTAAAGGTAGGGTATGTAAGAATGGAGAAACCAGCTCGAGTGCGCTAGAATTTGAAAATACACAACCGGAGAAAATCTGCCACTTCCTTATAGAGCCCCTCCTCCAACACACACCGAACGCGCACATGACCAATGAGGGCACGAGATAAGTTTGTGCACAGATGGAAGGCTGACAGGCAGGTAGGCCATCCAGTTATTTAAGCCGGGCCGGATCAGATGATTGGTCGTGCTTTTTACAGTACTACGGCTTCCACAGATGACATGTTTGTATATATTTATTGTCAAAGCATTTCATGTATTCATTGATATCGGGATGTTAAGAGCATTCCATGGAATATAACAAAAAGTGTTTCTGAAGTGAATTACCTAACCCACCTTTAAGTGTTGAAATACATGTAGAGCAGTATAAATAATAAATAACATTAATAATGTGTAAACATGCTTATGTTGTGTTTTCATCTGACCAGATAGTTAGGAGCAATCTCAAATATGCATAATGCTTTAAAATACATTATTGTATAGTCATTCAATAATCCTTGACTTATTAGGTTACATGTCATTAAACTAAATGAGTTTCATTAATAAATCACAATAGGAAGTGAATACTGCTATTAGACACACATTTGATGATAGACAGGTGAGTATTTTATAATGTTTACAACTAATTTATAACAGAGAAACAGACCGTCTTGGAATAAATGTTATCCTATGAACATACGATTATATCAACAGAAACGATTACTTCTACAATACATTGAATTATACTTTCTCTTTCCCCACGTAAAACGTAACCATCCCCGCTTCCCTCCCTCTCCATTCTGTGTGTGTGTGTGTGTGTGTGTGTGTGTGTGTGTGTGTGTGTGTGTGTGTGTGTGTGTGTGTGTGTGTGTGTGTGTGTGTGTGTGTGTGTCTTTGTGTGTGTGTGTGTGTGTGTGTGTGTGTGTGTGTCTTTGTGTGTGTGTGTCTTTGTGGCCTCTAATGGACTCTGTGAATGGAGAGATGCCACCCTGTTGTCTGCATCAAGGTCAAGTGTGTTCACACAGAAGCGTGGGTTTTTGTTCGGTGAGGTGTGTGTGGTTTTGTCTGGCAGTCATGAGTGTGTGTGTGTGTGTGTGTGTGTGTGTGTGTGTGTGTGTGTGTGTGTGTGTGTGTGTGTGAGTGTGTGTGTGTGTGTGTGTGTGTGTGTGTGTGTGGTTTTGTCTGGCAGTCACGAGTGTGTGTGTGTGTGTGTGTGTGTGTGTGTGTGTGTGTGTGTGTGTGTGTGTGTGTGTGTGTGTGTGTGTGTGTGTGTGTGTGTGTGTGTGTGTGTGTGTGTGTGTGTGTGTGTGTGTGTGTGTGGTAAGATATCAATGTAGGGGGAGCTAATAATAGTAGTACTTCATTTTAAACTTTAGTTCAATTATCTTGTGCATTTATTTGCTCACATTTTTACTCATTTTCAAGCAAATTAGGTCTAAGAGAATTAGAAGAAAATTATAACAATTACATAAAACATTAAAAATGTAAGTTTTAAAAAATGTAAAAACTATTAAATGAAAAAAATAAAATGTAACGTAAAATCTAAAAGTAAATAAGTGAAAAAAATGTTTTTAAAGAATACAATAAATAAAGGAAACAGGAGGAAACTAAACTAGGTGCAGAGAGAGAGTGTGCATGCAGATCTGCAAATAGCTGCAGAGAAAGACTGTCCTAATGCAGCCATGAATAAGAGATGATAGAAAGAGAAGTGTTGAATGCAGCTCAGCGTCCATTAGAGGAGACTCAGGCAGGCCATTAGGAGGATCACACACACACACGCACGCACGCACGCACGCACGCACACACGCACGCACGCACACACACACACACACACACACACACACACACACACACACACATACACACACACACACACACACACACACACACACACACACACACACACACACTGCAGAAATATGCAGAGGTTTTCACTACCAGTGGAGGAATGTAACTACTTCTGTAATGAAGTGCACATTTTAGGTACTTTTAATTTACTTGAGTATTTTCTTTTAATGCAACTTAATAATAATAATAATAATTCAATTGTAATTTATTGAGAAACATTGCACTTTTGACTTTAGTTAATTGATTTAACACACATACACATATGCTGATATGATGCAGGGCTGTCCTAATGATAAACCCAGTGAATGTGCTTCACATTGAGAAACTACTATACAGAAATGCTCTTACATGTTCATGGTGCATAATGATTCATTTGACTTCATTCATTCATTTAGCAGATGATTCTTTGGTGTCTTTACCTGGCATTCTGAATTCAGGACTTCTACTTGTAATGGAGTATTTGCTAGCTAAGCAGCGCCCTCTGGTGCTGAAACATACATGATAAAAACACCATGTAAAGTTCATACTACATCCTTGGGTTAGAGTAAGATAACATATTAAAAAGAATGTAAATTAAATACTGTACAGTGGTATAATACATACATACAAAATTAAATAAAGAGGGGTGGGGGATTATTGTGTCTATGCAAGGTGTTATTTTTTCTTGACTTGCTTGAAAAGCGCTTTGAGCACCAGGAAAAGCTCTATATAAATAACATGTATTATTATTATTCTTATCATTATTATTATTATTATTATATGTAAATATGTGTATGATTTTGCTGGGAGCAGAGCGTTTTGCAGCTGGTTTGCGGAATGTACTGACAGCACTGAGTCCAGTGGCGGTGCATTGTGGGATGTGTAGTCTCACAGTGGTTAAAAAAAGCATAATAATCAATGAACCGCAGTACGCGTTCTACTACATTTCCCAGAACACACTGCGGCATGTTAGCTGTGTGTATGTGAGGCAGAGAGGAGGAAGGTTTTCAGGAATTCGTCTGCAGACTTGGAGCCTCGTTTTTAGAGAAACATGGTAAGTCCACTGAATAAAACCCAGATATTCTGTTAAATATGTCTCTTATTATCTGTAGAAAACCGCAGCTGACCGCGGACATTATCGGAGTTTGACAAGCGCAGTGATTGCTAATGGAAAATGTAGCATTAGCTAGCTAACTTAAGCTAGCAAATTAGCCACTCTAGCTAATTATGTCAGTTTTTAACGGTTGTTGACAATTCAACGATTGATAATAATAATAACAATAACAGCACTGTGAGCTTTTGTCTATAATAATCACATGTTGGTTAACTGTTATTCTCTAATATACTTATATACTATATATAAGGTGTTTTAGCATTTAGTTGGCTAGCTGTCAGTTTGTTTTGTATTTTAATAAAAGTACAAGTATGGACAAACAGAGTATATATTATATAATAAAAATGTTGGTCCTCTAAATATCTAATAAACCAACTAAAGGGAAAACACTTTGTGGCCATTTAAAGACAATTAAATGGGATAAAAGTCTCCTTCCAACTAAAGCACCAAGAAAAAAACTGGAGAAAATGTGTCAAAAAAACCCCTCACCTTCTTCATTTTGCTGAATAATCCTGTAAAAATGAATGAATCCAAAGTCATTCAAAAAGGCAAACATATAATACAAATCAAAGCGTTAAACTAGAACCTCTACATCAAATATTCTGAGTAGAAACAGTACAAATAACAATAATAATGTGTATTAAAAGAGGTGTTTTGTATGCGTGCATGTCCACTTATTTATCAATTTCACTTAAAGCCTGATCATTTCCCAGGAGCTGCTTTAAAGTCTCCCATACTGTGCTGTTATAGCAGTTACATTATGTCAAAACAAGACACAAGAATCTAAAATAACAGTCTGCTGAATAATCCAGTAATAAAGAAATAAAGAAATAAAGTCAAAATAATCATCTTCATTTGTGGGCACTGTCTTTTATCATTTATCAGTCCATTTAGTCATTACATTACATGTCATTTGTTAGACGCTTTTATCCAAAGCGACTTACATACATTCAGTACTGTGGGCAATCCCCACAGGAGCAATTTGGGGTGAAGTGTCTCAGGGACACAAGGACATGCAGACTGCAGTGGGACTCGAACTTGCTATCCCCTGATTCAAAGTCCAGCACTGAGCCACAGTCATCAATTTGAGTTATTAATTCAAGTCTGATCACTTTCCACAGAGTTATGGCAGTGTGAACAGTTGTTGACAAAGTGACGTTGTTTATAATTCATACGTTGTGTTAAACTGTTATGTACTTATATATCAGGGGTTTTAGCATTTAGCTAGCTGTCAATTGTTTGGAGGATTATTAGAAACTCTAATCACTCATAACTGAACATTATTAACTGTAGGCACATGAGCCGTGTCAGAGATACATTAGAAATACTGTGATAGGGTTATAGTTAACAGAAGAATGCTACGTCCACACAATTAATTACCTGAGGTGGAAGAAGTACTCAGATCTTGTTCTTGAGTAAATGTAGAAGTACTCAGATCTTGTTCTTGAGTAAAAGTAGAAGTAGTCAGATCTTGTACTTGAGTAAAAGTAGAAGTACTCAGATCTTGTACTTGAGTAAAAGTAGAAGTACCAGAGTGTAGGAATACTCTGTTACAGTGAAAGTCCTGCATTCAAAATGTTCCTCAAGTAAAAGTAGAAAGTATTCTCATCAAAATATAGTGAAAGTAGCGACAGTGAAAGTAGTCATTGTGCAGATTGGTCCATTTCAGAATAATATATATGATATGTTTTATAATGATTGATCATGAAAGTGTTCTCAAAGCTGGTAAAGGTGCAGCTAGTTTGAATGACTTTGTATACTGCAGGGTAGCTTGTGGAATTTACTCCAGGTGGAACTAAAGTCTGATTTAACACTTGATTATATTTCACATCATTCATCCACATCTGTGAAGTGACTAAAGGTATTCAATAAATGTAGTGGAGGAAAAGTACACCATTTACCTCTGAACTGTAGAGGAGTAGAAGTACAAAATAGGATAACATGGAAATACTCAAGTAAAGTACAAGTATTTCAAAATGTGACTTTTGACTCTGTTTGAGCTCCTGGATAGTTTCACAGCAGTTTCTGCATCATGTTAGCATGGAGCTCTGCATACCTTTCTGTTTACATCAGGCTCCAGCTGTCCGGGTCACTGCTCATTGGCTGTCACTCTCCCTTTGTCTCTGTGTCCCCCCCCCCCCTCCCCCCTCTCTCTCTGTGTGAGTTTGAGGGTTTGCAGATGCTGGACACATTTTACACTTTCCTTCATATAACAGTTGATAAGGTCGGTGATGACCTCAGGAGAACAGCTGTTTCTTTTTATGTCTCGCTAAGTTCAACGAGAGAGCAAACAGTATGAGCTAACAGTGGGGAAAACGTACTCAAGTACTGTACTTAAGTATATTGTGCAATTTTCCAAACTCGCATTGGTTTCTCATACAGCATCTCTGTAAAGTATGTGTATTCACTCTCTGTCCTAAACGGCTTGTTGGAGCTCCTGCCCCCCCTCCCTGTGAGCCCAGTGTGCTCTGATTGGTGGGGACGTTGCGAGGCTCGCTGCTCAGTGAGCTGGCTTACTGGTGTGGTTTCCGGGTCAGCGAGACAGCGCGAAACTCATCCCGAGCACACACAAACACTCACAGCCGAAGTAAAAACAATAAGTGTGGCTTGATATTGAGTAAGACAAAGGTTTATAACGCTGTGAGAATGGGTCTGCGGAGAGCATTTCTCCGTGATCCCAACTCGTCTATTACCAGCGTTCAGGGAGCTCTATGCAAGTCAATGGGGACTCCCTGTTAGTTAGCCAAGGGATCCTGGTGTGTGAGGCGCTCCACGGATTGGTCCATTTGGGCCAATCCGGTCATTTGTTGTTGATCTGGGTGTTCACACGTCACAGAACCCAGGAAGCAAACAATGGAAAAAGAGAAATGTCCAACGAGGCGTTCTGGGGCAGCATAGACAGGTCTTTTCTGTGTTAGAGTTGTATTCCCTACAGGGTGTACTTTGAGGGTTTGTGACTCTGCAGACCGTTTACATGCAGAAGCTTCATAACACACAAGGGGACGGGTAATAACCGGAAAAGCATGACATGGGACCTTTAAAGTACATTTACTTCTGCACACGTTTACTTCCTCTTTTCCTCTATTGCTGCTGAATGTGTGCATTGCTTGTAATGAAGCACTGAGATATGTCACATACATTTATAAAATACTTTCAGGGCTCAACGCTAACTTTTAAAAGTGGTTGCCAGGCAACCAGGCATCAGCTTTTGGTTGCCAAAACTGAAAATACGGTTGCCATTTTTAGTCACCTTATATTTTAAATAATTAAGATGCTATACATCAACTTAATAATGAACATGTGACAAAAAAGAATGTTCAAATGCTTTACAATAAGTAATTAACACAATTATTTGAAACTTAAGTGGTAGGAAACTTGTCCACCCTCAATTGCTGGTATACAAAACACCAGTAGTGCAGCTGTTGTCATGTTCTTCACAGATCACTTGTTTCTTGGTCATCCGTTGTCTCCCTTTCAAACGTGGGTTTCCCTGACCTTTGTGCTGACCCCCACCATAGATCCACTGGCCCTTCAGCATTGAAGTCTGGATTGGCCAGACTAATACATTTCTAATGTTAAATAAATGAAAACCATTCACAGTTAAGAATTAGATATTCATTATTAATGCTGTAAATTACTTTTAATATGTCTAACTATATTTTTATAAAAGTGATTATATTTTTATGCCAATATGTTTCTATGGTAAAGTTTCGTTTTGCACTTTTATTTTGGTAGTAATAAGATCGGGACTCTTAATTTTTTCTTAACTTTTTACCCCACAGTCAAACAACTTAATTTGCTTCGCCATTTTTTGTAAAACAAACACACGGGGTGTTTCTCAATGTCGAGGAAGGCTGCTCCAGAGCCACTATTTCAAGCATGCTACGTCATCGAGTCCCGCCGAAGGACTGTTCCAATGTCCAGGCTCCTTGGAATTCTACCGAGGCCGGCGTCCTTCGTAGCGACAAATTTCGAGGCTGCACATGTGTAGACTCCGCGGTCTTGAAATCCCCACAATGCTTTGCGCACGGACCAATTTCCAAATCTATGGGGGAAATCGCGCTCCATTTAAAGCGGTGCCTCGCATATGACGCACACCTGTTAGCCTGTTCCACAATTCTTCGTTTTCCGAGGCTAGGAAGGATTCTTGCCTCGCTTCTGAAGCAAGTGACTCGGAGGCACATGTGCTACCAAGCAAGCGTCCTCGACATTGAGAAACACACACGGCGCACCGCGCACGCGAGTAAACGTGCATCGCTTTCTGGCTCCGTAATCACACCAATGCACGTGCAACTTAAGTATCAGGTTCTGACTGGTCGCAACAATAATTAAATATCACTCTTAAGACAACAAATAATTAACATTTATCTATTGGGTGCACATTTTACTGTTTGCTGTCCTTATTTCTTTATGTTAAAAACTGGTTGCCACTGATGGCAACCAAAGGCCAAGAAGTGGTTGACGTTTTTTCTGAATGGTTGCCAATGGCAACCTGGCAACCATTACTGTCGAGCCCTGACTTTATACCTTTTAACAACTGTAAGAAACTGTCAACTTCTGCAAATCTAAACCATACTTAGATATATGTTATGTTGCGTTTACTTGGAGCGTTTTGAAAGAATGAAAGCACCTTGCAGATATTATTCTGATAATAAAATATCCATTGAGAGAATCCTGGATAGAACTACATTGCCTAATTTTAATGAAAATAAAAGTAGAATTTCCTGTATTCAGATTAAATAAATACTTCTACAAACTAGGAAAAGTTATCCATTTGAACAAAGTCAACCTTAAAAAGTTTGTATACTCTAACAGCTGTGTTGTTTTTAAGTTTGTTGTGCGGGAGGCCGGTACAGTAACTCCACTGTGCGTGTCCCATGATGCACTGCTTCCTCTCATGTTAAAGCTGTACTGTAGCCACTGGCAGGCACCGTGTGTGTGTGTGTGTGTGTGCGTGTGTGTTTCAGACAACTTATGCTTAGTATTTTAGATCAACCTTCAGAATCAGACTTCCTGTCCTGCATTGGTGGAAATGTACAACATTACTGCAAAAAGTTATAGCAGAGAAAAGGCAAGCAATATTAAAGTAGCAAACATGTTAAATATAGAGAAAAAACACACTTTTGAAATAAAAAAAAATACAAATAAAGACAAGCAAGTACTTACCCATGGCTAAAGAATCAGCATTTCAAATAGCACAGTGTACATTAAGGTTTGAGAGACTTTAAAAAGGTGTTTTGCAGATAAAATGATTCTGTAATTGCCCAGTAGAATAGCCAAAGAAAGTGTTATTTGTTACTGACTAACTAGTTTGTTTCTAGGGACGCAACCCTCTTTCCTGTCTTTATTCACTTGATTAGGTGACATGACAAATTAAATGGTCAGAGAAGAAGTCAAACACTAAATCTAATTTTGCTCAAAATTATCGTTCATATTTGTCTGTTTAGTCGCAATGCTGCAGTGTCTTTAGTGTTACCCCGGGATTCCACCGGGTCCGTCTGCGCCGCGTTACGTCTGCGCCACGGTTTTGTTTCGGCCTCCTCCAGCGTCAAACCCTACCGGGCACGTTTCAGAACCGGAGCGTTTTGCGTGCCGGCTCGCAGTTTTTGTTGATTTGGGCATATTTCCTGGACAGGCTACTTTGTACAGACAAAGTTAATAATAACTGTAATATTCCAGTTATAAACGACATGAATCAAAGATGTGTTGCTGTATTTTAGTGGTAAAAAAATGCATTCATCATCATAATTATTCTATATATATATAATTTACACAGTGCCTGTAAACCGGAGGAGAACGCTGGCATTTCTCCTCCTACTTGAAAGACTACGGAGGGGTAGGGTCTGCAAAATGTGTTTGTTTTGGGGATTGAATGGATGCTCTGACCGGTCCACTTCCTGCCCGGCGCTATGCAACGCAATAGACCAGCATCCTATTTTTAGCGGAGCCCAGCACCGAGACGCTTCTGGGACGCTTCTGGGACGCTTCTGGGACGCTTCTAGCCGTAACACGCGCGTAAGGTGGAATAGCACCCATTGACTAGAGTGGCCGCAATCGCTGTGAACGCCGCGGCACAGCCGTAACGCGCCGCAGACGGACCCGGTGGAATCTAGGGGTTTGTTACAAGAGAATTCCTCCCATTTGTCAGGGACTTTAAGATCTGATTTTGCCCACCATTTTTCTCAATGTAAACTTAAGTCATGCTTCCTCTCTCCTCTCTCCTCTCTCCTCTCTCCTCTCTCAGGCCTAGCAGTGGAGCTAACAGCTAGCTTTGCCTCTGTGTGTTCTCATGGTTCTGATCAGCTGTAAGACGCTTCACTACGACTGAAACCCCGGAGGAAGAGCAGCAGAAACAGCCGTACCCCCCCCAAAAGACTCCAGCTAAAGGGTGAGAGACAAACGTGTGACTTAAAGGAACTAAATATTCAGATTATACTCATGTCTGTGTTTCAGGAAAGGAGATACTCAAGTTAAATACAGCTACCTCAAGTTTACAGAACACTATTTGAGTAAATGTACTTAAACTGACCATCCCTTTTCTGTTTTGTGTTATTCTGTCAAAGCGTCTTACTCACCAATTTATCCATATCTCCACCTTTCTTTAACTTTCAGAGCAGCATGGAGGCGTCATTCGGTCCCACTTTCTCTGCTGTAGCTGCTGGAGGTAAAGGTCATACTATAAATACTCCCTGAAGTATAAGTACCTATTATTAACATATTTCAATATTTTCTTTCAGCAGAAGCGTCGAGCAACTACAAGCAGCACCGAAGAACCCCCTCCTCCTCCAGCACGCTCACCTACTCCCCCCGCGATGAAGACGACGGGATGGTACACACACACACACACACACACAGACACACAGACACACAGACACACACACACAGACAGACACAGACACAGACACACACACACACACACACACAGAGACAGACAGACAGACAGACAGACAGACAGACACACACACACACACACACAGAGACAGACAGACAGACAGACAGACAGACACACACAGACAGACAGACAGACAGACAAAAAACTCATCAGCATTTTTCTAAAACATTATATTCATTGGTCTTCTTAATATCTAATGAACTAGCTAAAGGGAAAACACTAGGAGCAAGCTTTATGGAAACTTAACAACAGTTTATTTTGAATTAGTTCCATGTCATTTATGATCAGCTTTTCAGTTCTCCCAAAGCTGATCATATTTGAAGAGCCTTAGGTTATATGTAAGGGATAATGTGCAGCGACGCGGTCATTATGGGGAAAAGAACACCGACAGGCTGATCAGGAGCCCGACGCGAAGCGGAGGGATCTAGATCGGCATGAAGGTGTTCTTTATCTCTCACATTATCCCGCTTATTACACGGCCACATTCTCAACAAAGTAACGATATGACTCCCAATATTAATTTAAATGCTTTTATGGATTTAGAAAATGATTTTATTGATTTAAAAAATAGTTGTATGTATTGATTTAAATTGACATGCATCCGCTAAGAAAAATAGTCCGTTGTTACCGTTTGAACTAACGGCAGGATCTGCTTCGATGGCGTTTTTGAGGAGCTTTTTGATTACAGATTTGAAAACATCGTTGCTTGCTTTAAAAGCAGCACAATTCATGATGTCAAACCTTGGAAAGTATCTAGATATCCCTGCCCTAATGCCAAAGTAACTGGCAACTGAATATGTGTCGCCGTTTGATGTCTATGTCTGGACCGCTGCGTAAAAAGGAGGGTTTCTGTCCCGTTACTTCTCCGCTGTTTTCTTGACGCTCTTGTCTTGTCAATTAGAAAAGCAAACTGCATGCAGGTTGCTTTTCGGCCAAACTGTATAAAGTTAAATCGAACTGACTTGTTTTAGCAGATGTGAGCGTCCTTAACAACGGTCAATAAGTCCTTGACAGCGGTCTGTCTGTTCTGGATTAACAACGTGTCACGTGTTCTGAATTGACCAATCAGAATCGAGTATTCAACTAAGCCATGTAATAAATACATATATATATATATATATATATATATATGTATATATATATGTATATATATATATATATATACAGCTTAAACCGCTTAGTAAAAGGTGTAGATTCTTGTAAAAACCTCAAATTTCATCTCACTAGTGGTGTGAACTATGATGGAGGAAGTTGGGCCCATATTCCCACACATCTTACTATACTGTGGTACTGTTGATGACCTTTGCCCTCTGTTTCCCCCCCCAGCCTCCCATTGGTACCCCCCGCAGGTCGGATTCAGCGATCTCCATTCGGTCTCTGCACTCTGAGTCCAACATGTCTCTGCGCTCCACCTTCTCTCTGCATGAGGAGGAGGAGGACATGGTGAGATACCAACAAACACTACAAATACATGTGCACGGAAACACTCTGGAATTATAGTGTTGGTACTCAGTGTGTGTGTGTGTGTGTGTGTGTGTGCAGGAGCCTCTGGTGTTTGCTGAGCAGCCGTCTGTGAAGCTGTGCTGCCAGCTGTGCTGCAACGTCTTCAAAGACCCCGTCATCACCACCTGTGGGGTGAGTTTACCTCCATCACTTCCTCCATCTTCCTCTTTGTGTAGACCCTAACTCACAGAGGTGGTTAGAGGACACGTTGGAGACATCTATAGCCGCTTTCACACCAAGTACTTAGCCGGTACTTGTCCCCGGTGTTAAGGAATAATTCTTCTAGATATCTAACCTTTTGCTCTGTGACGTTTTATGATCTACTCTGACGTCTGTTATCTCCTTTAAGGAAAGGCCTTGGTGCCATATGTGTTGTTGTCACCAGTTTGTGACCGGTCAACTTGTCTGGCACGAATGGTAATTGTTGTGAGAACACTGAGGCACTTCTTTATCGGTGTTTGTGGACTCTAAGATGTGAAATCTTTGAGGCCATGAGTGTCGGACGCAGGTGGTTCAGTGTTCCCAGCTGTTTAGTCTACTCCTTCAGAGATGTTGATTCTCTGTGAACCAGTTAAAAGGTCTAGCATAGAGAGAGGCTCTTCAGAATTGACGTGGCAACTCTACCGTGTAGTCAGAACCTCTGACTCTTTGATTTGTGATGTGAATCCTCCGGCCGAATACTCTGAATAAACCCATCAGTGTTTGACATCGAAGCTCCAACTCTCACCGTGTCTCCTTCCTGAGTCGGTGACTCCATGCATTGCTACACAGAAGTTTCCCCCACACCCGGTACTTGTTCCCGGTACTTGTTCCCGCCGAACTCTTTAGTCCCTCAAACTGTCCTAGTAGATCGCGTTCTCACCGGAATAAGTCCCCGAGGGAGGATTACGCAGATGAAGCCGCTGACGTCACTTCTTCTTCTTCTGCTTTGGGTTTACTGGCAGGCCGCAAACAACTTCACGGCGTATACTGCCACCCACGTAACTTTACCGAACAACGCTCTTAAACTTTGGAGTTGGGGACTGGCTTCAGTAGAAGCTGCTGGGTCGAGTCTTCCAAGTAAATCGCCAGAAGCGCCGACACCTCCTCATCACTCCACCGCCCCCATGTTTTCTTTTGTGTTGCCATAAGTTATTCTCTCTCCGTTGGTGCGCTCGGCTAATGCGAGCAAATAAAATGGCGGCTTCACAAAACTTTTCAAAGATTTACGGGGCGTGGTTTACAATTCGCCCAGCCAATCAGAAATTGTTAGCTTGGCCGACATACCCACGAACCATTTCCTCCTCAGGAAAGTACCACCTCTCTAGCAGGGACTATCTGGGGGTGAAAAGGTTCTCGCGAACTAGGGACAAGTTCCAGATCCTTTTTGGTGTGAAACCAAATCTCTCCCCCCCCCTATCGGCCTAGTTCGAGGGGAAAAGTACTCCGGTTTGAAAGCGCTATATGAGTGTTTCCGTTAGCCAGTTTTTACAGGAGTTTGACCCTTAAAATCTGTGGGAGTCGGCAAATTTAAATCCCTCCGGTCATAATGTACGCTGGAAAAATTAATTCCCCCAGAGCACAGTTTGTAGTTTATCAAAAATCATCTGAATAGAGTCTGTAGTCGCCGCTCTCATTGATATCTCATTGAATTGATAGAGGGTGAAACAAGACGCCATCGATGGAGGCCTGCAGAGTCATCGTTAGGGATTTCATTGAGGGGACTCTGTTCAAACGTTCGTATCCAGACAGGTCTACACATTTTAGCTTCTATTCTGTTTTATTTTATCTAAGAATATGCAGGGCTAATGCTGAGGGAGGTTCAGGGCTCAAGTGAACTGTTAGAAGTGTTAATTAATAAGAAAAGGGAAACTTGGACGCTTCGTAACGCTTGTGTTTGCTTCTCCCTCAGCACACCTTCTGCAGACGATGTGCCTTGACTTCAGGTGAGATTTAAATGCTTTTTTTTTTTAAAGTCCTTTATTGATCCCAATTTTGGAAATGTTTGCGTTGCAGCAGCGTAAAAAGACAAGGCATTGCACATAAGAGAAATTAAAAGAAATAAACATTTCAAAATGTAAACATCTCAAATAGAAATAAAATAGCATTTAAAAAAAGTTGAAAATATAAAGCAGGATATTATACGTTAAGTGTGTGAGGAATGGAATATTTAATATTAGATTGGATATAAATGTACAGTGTGAGTTTAAGTCCAGTATTAAATGTCAAATCAGTAGTTGTGCAGGAATGATGGTCTGAAGAGATTTTAACGTTTTGTTCTACGACCTTAAACACGTCAGTAAATACCCCTTCTGTAGTTTTATTAGTTATAACCTTTCGTTGCTTTACATCTGGGTCGTCAAACTCAAGACTTCACTTTATGTGGCCCCGCAAGAGCTTGGAAAGAATCAAATAAGTTTATTATAAGGTTACATGCCTTTTTACAGAAGCACGTTGCCCATAAACTACATGTCCCACAATGCATCTCATTTTGTGACATGCGCACTGAAGAGACTTGAAATTATTCGCCCTAGACTTCTGCTTTCAGACGAAGTTAGTTACCCTATCCGATAATAATCCAATGCAGAGGCAATAATGTAATATAATACATTATTTTATATATATATATTTAAATATGTAGATTTATATAGTCTAAAAGTTACAACCGGCCCTTTGAGTGCAACCTTAATGCTGATGTGGCCCGCGATGAAATTGAGTTTGACACCCCTGATCTAAATGAATTCAACACAGAAATCCAACATCCCTGCACCTGTTCTGTATTCTAACCTCTCGCTGCTCTCCCCCCTCTCTCAGATAAGTGCCCGGTGGACGCGGCTAAGCTAACGGTGGTGGTGAACAACATCGCGGTGGCGGAGCAGATTGGAGAGCTGTTCATTCACTGTAAATACGGCTGCAGGGCCACAGCCATCGCTGCAGGGGGCGCCGCGGCCCCCCCCACCACCACCGTGGCCGGGAAGCCAGGAGCATTCGAGGTGGACCCGCTGGGATGCCCCTTCACCATCAAACTCACCACACGCAAGTAAGAGAGGGGTTTAAATCAGGGCTGGGGGTTTAAATCAGGGCTGGGGGTTTAAATCAGGGCTGGGGGTTTAAATCAGGGCTGGGGGTTTAAATCAGGACCCAAACACAGGATGAGGAGAAAGTATAGCAAAATGATAGCTTTATTTAAAGGTCTCCTATCGATGTCTTTTCTACATACACATGTGTCCCCGGTGTGTCCCCGGTGTGTCCCCGGTGTGTCAGGAGACTCTCAAAGTGTCAGAAAACAAAACCCTCTCTCTTTGCCTCCCTACCCACATCTCTAAAAACGGGGGAACAACGGAGCTGATCCAGATTTGCTGCGTCATGACGACATTACTAAAATGTTTACACCCACGGGCCTATCAGAAACGTTGCTGTCAGAAACAATGAGCGACGTGTTTTGGACGTAATATGGTCTTTGTTTACATTAGCATGGCTAACACTCAGAGCTAACCTGTACTGGAGAGAGCATGTGTAAAGAAGCAGGAAATGAAAAGGAACTCACCTTGTGGTAAACCTGAGAGAGAGAAAGAGTTTGAGCTCCATGCTGTTTCAGAGAGAATCCTTGATGTGGTTTGGAACATGATATGGAGTTTAATCCCGGCTGTATCTAATCCAAACACCAAATGAATATAAAATACCTCCTCTCCTCTCCACAGAGAGCATGAAGCCAGCTGTGACTACAGGCCGGTTCGATGCCCAAACAACCCCTCCTGCCCCCCCCTGCTCACCATGAACCTGGAGGCTCACCTCAAAGAGTGTGAGCACATCAAGTGTCCTCACTCCAAATACGGGTGAGTCTCTAAACACACCCTAAGTTACTTTTCACTGCATCTCCATTTCTTATACGGTTCACAGGATTGACTTGACCTGTTTATTATTAGTCTGTCTCTTGCTCAACTTCTACCACTCCTTTATTTACGTACTTTATTTATCCCGGTATTTTTTAGATATTTATTGGGTATTTTTCAGGTATTTATTGGGTATTTTTCAGGTATTTATTGGGTATTTCTTAGATATTTATTGGGTATCTTTCAGGTATTTATTGGGTATTTAAGATATTTATTGGGTATTTTTTAGATATTTATTGGGTATTTTTAAGATTTAGTTTATTTTTCAGGTATTTTTAAATTACTTATTGGGTATTTTTCAGGTATTTATTGGGTATTTTTTAGATATTTATTGGGTATTTTAAAGATATTTATTAGGTATTTTTTAATTACTTATTTGGTATTTATTGGGTATTTTTCAGGTATTTATTGGGTATTTCTTAGATATTTATTGAGTATTTTTTTTATATTTATTGGGTATTTTTTAGATATTTATTGGGTATTTTTTTGATATTTATTGGGTATTTTTCAGGTATTTATTGGGTATTTTTCAGGTATTTATTGGGTATTTCTTAGATATTTATTGGGTATCTTTCAGGTATTTATTGGGTATTTAAGATATTTATTGGGTATTTTTAAGATTTAGTTTATTTTTCAGGTATTTATTGGGTATTTTTTAATTACTTATTTGGTATTTATTGGGTATTTTTCAGGTATTTATTGGGTATTTCTTAGATATTTATTGAGTATTTTTTTTATATTTATTGGGTATTTTTTAGATATTTATTGGGTATTTTTTTGATATTTATTGGGTATTTTTCAGGTATTTATTGGGTATTTTTCAGGTATTTATTGGGTATTTCTTAGATATTTATTGGGTATTTTTAAGATTTAGTTTATTTTTCAGGTATTTATTGGGTATTTTTAAATTACTTATTGGGTATTTTTCAGGTATTTATTGGGTATTTTTCAGGTATTTATTGGGTCTTTTTTAGATATTTATTGGGTATTTTTTAGATATTTATTGGGTATTTTTCAGGTATTTATTGGTTATTTCTTAGATATTTATTTGGCATTTCTTTTAGATATTTATTTATCCCGGGGGGAAATTGGGTTTTGTTATTTAATTGTATAAAGGTGCAATAAAAGATCAAATGAAACAGAATAGACTAAAAATATTGTTATAAATAAAAATACAAATTTAAAGTAAAAATGTGCAGTGAAAGATCAAATATATTAAAAAAATAATTAAAATATTTCTATAAACAAAGGAAATTAAATACAAAATGTGCACGTTACAATAAATATGTAAACATGTGTATACTAAGATATGATCTGCCTCTCTTCTCCCTGACAGGTGCACGTTCATCGGGAACCAGGACACGTATGAAACTCACCTGGAGGTCTGTAAGTTCGAGGGTCTGAAGGAGTTCCTGCAGCAGACGGACGACAGGTGAGACACAGGGGAGAGATGAACTGTAACTCAACTTAAAGAATCAATCAATTATCATCTGAACAGCTATGGGTTTAGATATCCAGCATTTCATTATTAGAAACCCTAAACATAAGGTGTCTTCATCTATCAGTGACTACCTTTGACCCCTCAGGTTCCACGAGATGCAGCTGACCCTCGCTCAGAAGGACCAGGACATCGCCTTCCTGCGCTCCATGCTGGGGAAACTCTCGGAGAAGCTGGATCAGCTCGAGAAGAACCTGGAGCTCAAATTTGGTGAGAGAGCAGAGGTGGAAGAAGTACTGTGATCCTAGAAGTACTTGAGTAAAAGTAGAAGTACAACAGTGTAGAAATACTCGGTTAGAGCAAAAGTCATCTATATATCCTTTATTTAAGCAGGTAAAAGTCTCATTGAGATTAAAAATCTATTTTTCAACAGCGACCTGGCCAAGAGGGCAAAGTTACAACAAATTAACACAAAACAATACAGGCAGACAAAAACACATCTTAAAAATAATAAAATAAACTGTTATAAAACATAAAAAACATGCACAATTTTAAAACAACTTAGGGGATATAACAGGGTGTCCGCGGGGTCTTAAAAAGTATTAAAAGTTGACAAATCAATTTAGCGAAAATGAAGGCTATTAAAAAGTATTAAAAAGTATTAAACGGCATTTTCCAAGGTATTACATTTTGTAGCTTGTTTTCAATAAGTATATAAATTGTCCAAAGAGGTTGTATTCTACAGTCTGCCTGAATGTAATCATTGCGTAGGTGTGTAGTGTGATTCTGTGTAGTTTATTTATGGCATCCCGTTGGATTTGACGTCATCTGAACAGGACATCGCACGCTCACTGCTTGATAGCGCGAGAAGGTCCGTTTACTCCGGTTGTTAAACAACATCGTCATGGGGAAATGCAAGTCTGCGTCCAAATGGTTGGAAGATAAGGAGGAAGGACAATCAATACTGTATATAGTCAATGTGAGGTAAAGTGTGTCGCCAATGTAACCGATTAGAACTCGAAGTGGCGATGAGGTCTTAAAACGTATGGAAAGGGTCTTAAAAAAGGTCTTAAAAGGTCTTGCATTTGACTTCAAGACTCCTGCATATATCCTGTTTAAGAGCAATCACATCAACCAATGGTTTCTTATAATAAAGCTGTATTTATGTTGCACTTCTCATTCATCACATGCAGCTCAAAGTGCTTTACAAAATGACACATCACAAGTTAAAAACAATCAACAAGAAACTCCCCTCAGATTGTTTAAGAACTTTAAAAGGTACATGCAGCAACATATAGCATTTGATCAGGTTAATTGACACAAGGATGTAAAAGGTGTGATGATACAAATAAAATAAAATAAAGAATGGTTTCTCTGACAGATAAGACACAAGACAACTGATTCGATGCAACAATATAAAATATAAAACAAAGTGAACATATAGGTACGCCTGCATCATCCCCAGAACCCCCTCCATTAACCACATCACTCCTGTTCTTCAGCAACTTCACCGGCTCCCCGTCTAACCCCGTATAGGCCATCCATAACCTCACTCCTCTGTACCTCTCCGACCTCCTGCACATCAACACACCCATCCGCACACTCAGGTCTTCTGCTTCCCTCCACCTCACTGCACCCCCCTTCCGTTTAACCACCATGGGGTCTAGAGCCTTCAGCCGCTCTGCGCCCCGCCTAACCACCATGGGGTCTAGAGCCTTCAGCCTCACTGCACCCCCCTTCCGCCTAACCACCATGGGGTCTAGAGCCTTCAGCCGCTCTGCACCCCCCCTGACCACCATGGGGTCTAGAGCCTTCAGCCTCTCTGCACCCCGCCTAACCACCATGGGGTCTAGAGCCTTCAGCCGCTCTGCACCCCGCCTAACCACCATGGGGTCCAGAGCCTTCAGCCGCTCTGCACCCCCCCTGACCACCATGGGGTCTAGAGCCTTCAGCCGCTCTGCACCCCGCCTAACCACCATGGGGTCTAGAGCCTTCAGCCGCTCTGCACCCCGCCTAACCACCATGGGGTCTAGAGCCTTCAGCCGCTCTGCACCCCCCCTGACCACCATGGGGTCTAGAGCCTTCAGCCGCTCTGCACCCCGCCTAACCACCATGGGGTCTAGAGCCTTCAGCCGCTCTGCACCCCGCCTAACCACCATGGGGTCTAGAGCCTTCAGCCGCTCTGCGCCCCGCCTAACCACCACGGGGTCCAGAGCCTTCAGCCGCTCTGCACCCCGCCTAACCACCATGGGGTCTAGAGCCTTCAGCCGCTCTGCACCCCGCCTAACCACCATGGGGTCTAGAGCCTTCAGCCGCTCTGCACCCCGCCTCTGGAACTCCCTCCCACCTGACATCCGCAACACTGACTCTCTCCCCATTTTCAAATCACGTCTCAAAACACATCTCTTCACACTCGCATATATATATATATCACACATCCTCTGTTTTTATTGATTTGATTATTTTATTGATTGATTGATATACTGCATTGTCTTGTTTATGTCTCTTATGCTGGTGTTATGTATTGTGTATCTTGTTTTGTGTGTGTTTGTACGGCGACCTTGAGAGCCTTGAAAGGCGCCTATATAAAAATTAATTAATTCGTATTATTATTAAATAAAATAAATAAATAAAATACATTAAAATAAATAAAATAAAATACATTAAATACAAAAGTAGGTTAATAATAAAGACTAAAAGAACATTTAAAGTGGGGGGTTGCTAATAAAAATCTAAAAAGATGTGCGTTTAGCCGGTGTTTAAAAACTCTTGTTCTCTGTCCTTTAAGATAGACTTGAATTCCCCCAAAGTGATCAAATCTGACAGTTTCAGCTCCTTCTGTATAATATCCCAAGCATATTTAAAAGCTTTTTTACCTAGTTCTGCTCTCACTTTAGGAACCAGCATTTCTTTACACATATAAGTGCAAATATGAAGTCATGCATTCAAATGTTGCTCAATATCAAATATCTGCAGGCACTTTAAACACAATTTTAGGACACGCGTACTGACAGGAAGTATTGACTGGAGAAAGTTGAACTACCTTCCTTGCTGTGTGTTATAATTCGTGTGTGTGTTTCAGACGTGTTGGATGAGAACCAGAGTAAACTGAGCGAGGACCTGATGGAGTTTCGTCGAGACGCGTCCATGCTTAACGTAAGTGTGTGTGCACCAAAGAGGAGTTCAAGGAGGCAGCTGTGATTGACTGAGTAAGGGGTCAAATCAGTCTTCCTCCTTTTGTCACGGGATTGTTTTATATGTCATAAGTAGGTCTAACTTTGAGCAATTGAAAACTCACTTGGCTTATTTGTGTATTTATAACTGCACCGTATCAGCTCAGTAAATAAAATGGAGATATATTTACATACTTGTACTTTACTTAAAGGTACCCTATTCTGCAAAATCCACTTCTTCATGTCTCTTCTACATCAACATGTGTCCCCTCTTCTTCATGTCTCTTCTACATCAACATGTGTCCCCTCTTCTTCATGTCTCTTCTACATCAACATGTGTCCCCTCTTCTACATGTCTCTTCTACATCAACATGTGTCCCCTCTTCTTCATGTCTCTTCTACATCAACATGTGTCCCCTCTTCTTCATGTCTCTTCTACATCAACATGTGTCCCCTCTTCTTCATGTCTCTTCTTCATCAACATGTGTCCCCTCTTCTTCATGTCTCTTCTACATCAACATGTGTCCCCTCTTCTTCATGTCTCTTCTACATCAACATGTGTCCCCTCTTCTTCATGTCTCTTCTACATCAACATGTGTCCCCTCTTCTTCATGTCTCTTCTACATCAACATGTGTCCCCTCTTCTTCATGTCTCTTCTACATCAACATGTGTCCCCTCTTCTTCAAGTCTCTTCTACATCAACATGTGTCCCCTCTTCTTCAAGTCTCTTCTACATCAACATGTGTCCCCTCTTCTTCATGTCTCTTCTACATCAACATGTGTCCCCTCTTCTTCATGTCTCTTCTACATCAACATGTGTCCCCTCTTCTTCATGTCTCTTCTACATCAACATGTGTCCCCTCTTCTTCATGTCTCTTCTACATCAACATGTGTCCCCTCTTCCTCATGTCTCTTCTACATCAACATGTGTCCCCTCTTCTTCATGTCTCTTCTACATCAACATGTGTCCCCTCTTCTTCATGTCTCTTCTACATCAACATGTGTCCCCTCTTCTTCATGTCTCTTCTACATCAACATGTGTCCCCTCTTCTTCATGTCTCTTCTACATCAACATGTGTCCCCTCTTCTTCATGTCTCTTCTACATCAACATGTGTCCCCTCTTCTTCATGTCTCTTCTACATCAACATGTGTCCCCTCTTCTTCATGTCTCTTCTACATCAACATGTGTCCCCTCTTCTTCATGTCTCTTCTACATCAACATGTGTCCCCTCTTCTTCATGTCTCTTCTACATCAACATGTGTCCCCTCTTCTTCATGTCTCTTCTACATCAACATGTGTCCCCTCTTCTTCATGTCTCTTCTTCATCAACATGTGTCCCCTCTTTTTCATGTCTCTTCTACTTCAACATGTGGGGAGGGGCTCCTTATTTTCATCTAAAGTAACAGACAGAGAATCAGCACTTTGGAAACAGGGCTGAAACAAAGGGGATTATGGGTAATGCTGCAATGATCTGTTTGGTGTTTCAGCCAATCAGAGACAGGCTCTGGATATATCTGAGACCTGTGATATATTGATGAAAGACAGTATAATAGGGGACCTTTAAAGTGCAGAACTTGTTGATCAAACCCTCCTAAATGTTTCCGTCTCTCTGCAGGATGAGTTGTCCCACATCAACGCCAGACTCAACATGGGGATCCTGGGCTGTAAGTTAACCTCCTTTTTAAAAAAACCATCTCTATTATTCAGTTAATTGATTCATACTTAAAGATACGAGCTCGATCATAAGACAGACTGGAGATATGTGCACCTCAATAAGCTGTCTGAAACTCGGGAATACAGACAGGGAATAGAAAGTATTTGAAATATGTATTGCTATCATGTAGAACTGGAGATAATTCACGTGTTATACAGAAACATTTACAAGATTAAAAAACGTATCTAACCTTAAGGTCCCCAAAACACGTATTAATCAGTCTGAACATTGGGTTACAGGTTACATATAATAAACACGGATAAATGACACATTACATTTAAAAAAACCTGGAGATAACTTTTTTATTTTATCTTAAATGTTCTGTTCTTGATTTAAAATCTAGCTCTGACTTTCTCTCTCTGGTCGTTCCTTCCTCGTCTCCTTCACTCACCTCCCTCCTGTCCTCCTTCCTCTCTTACCTCTGACTTTCTCTCTCTGGTCGTTCCTTCCTCGTCTCCTTCACTCACCTTCCTCCTGTCCTCCTTCCTCTCTTCGCTCTGACTTTCTCTCTCTGGCCGTTCCTTCCTCGTCTCCTTCACTCACCTTCCTCCTTTCCTCCTTCCTCTCTTACCTCTGACTTTCTCTCTCTGGTCGTTCCTTCCTCGTCTCCTTCACTCACCTTCCTCCTTTCCTCCTTCCTCTCTTACCTCTGACTTTCTCTGGTCGTTCCTTCCTCGTCTCCTTCACTCACCTTCCTCCTGTCCTCCTTCCTCTCTTACCTCTGACTTTCTCTCTCTGGTCGTTCCTTCCTCGTCTCCTTCACTCACCTCCCTCCTGTCCTCCTTCCTCTCTTCGCTCTGACTTTCTCTCTCTGGTCGTTCCTTCCTCGTCTCCTTCACTCACCTTCCTCCTGTCCTCCTTCCTCTCTTAGCTCTGACTTTCTCTCTCTGGTCGTTCCTTCCTCGTCTCCTTCACTCACCTTCCTCCTGTCCTCCTTCCTCTCTTAGCTCTGACTTTCTCTCTCTGGTCGTTCCTTCCTCGTCTCCTTCACTCACCTTCCTCCTTTCCTCCTTCCTCTCTTACCTCTGACTTTCTCTCTCTGGTCGTTCCTTCCTCGTCTCCTTCACTCGCCTTCCTCCTGTCCTCCTTCCTCTCTTAGCTCTGACTTTCTCTCTCTGGTCGTTCCTTCCTCGTCTCCTTCACTCACCTTCCTCCTGTCCTCCTTCCTCTCTTAGCTCTGACTTTCTCTCTCTGGTCGTTCCTTCCTCGTCTCCTTCACTCACCTTCCTCCTGTCCTCCTTCCTCTCTTACCTCTGACTTTCTCTCTCTGGCCGTTCCTTCCTCGTCTCCTTCACTCACCTTCCTCCTGTCCTCCTTCCTCTCTTCGCTCTGACTTTCTCTCTCTGGTCGTTCCTTCCTCGTCTCCTTCACTCACCTTCCTCCTGTCCTCCTTCCTCTCTTAGCTCTGACTTTCTCTCTCTGGCTGTTCCTTCCTCGTCTCCTTCACTCACCTTCCTCCTGTCCTCCTTCCTCTCTTCGCTCTGACTTTCTCTCTCTGGCTGTTCCTTCCTCGTCTCCTTCACTCACCTTCCTCCTGTCCTCCTTCCTCTCTTCGCTCTGACTTTCTCTCTCTGGCTGTTCCTTCCTCGTCTCCTTCACTCACCTTCCTCCTGTCCTCCTTCCTCTCTTAGCTCTGACTTTCTCTCTCTGGCTGTTCCTTCCTCGTCTCCTTCACTCACCTTCCTCCTGTCCTCCTTCCTCTCTTAGCTCTGACTTTCTCTCTCTGGTCGTTCCTTCCTCGTCTCCTTCACTCACCTTCCTCCTGTCCTCCTTCCTCTCTTAGCTCTGACTTTCTCTCTCTGGTCGTTCCTTCCTCGTCTCCTTCACTCACCTTCCTCCTTTCCTCCTTCCTCTCTTACCTCTGACTTTCTCTCTCTGGTCGTTCCTTCCTCGTCTCCTTCACTCGCCTTCCTCCTGTCCTCCTTCCTCTCTTAGCTCTGACTTTCTCTCTCTGGTCGTTCCTTCCTCGTCTCCTTCACTCACCTTCCTCCTGTCCTCCTTCCTCTCTTAGCTCTGACTTTCTCTCTCTGGTCGTTCCTTCCTCGTCTCCTTCACTCACCTTCCTCCTGTCCTCCTTCCTCTCTTACCTCTGACTTTCTCTCTCTGGCCGTTCCTTCCTCGTCTCCTTCACTCACCTTCCTCCTGTCCTCCTTCCTCTCTTCGCTCTGACTTTCTCTCTCTGGTCGTTCCTTCCTCGTCTCCTTCACTCACCTTCCTCCTGTCCTCCTCCTTCCTCTCTTAGCTCTGACTTTCTCTCTCTGGCTGTTCCTTCCTCGTCTCCTTCACTCACCTTCCTCCTGTCCTCCTTCCTCTCTTCGCTCTGACTTTCTCTCTCTGGTCGTTCCTTCCTCGTCTCCTTCACTCACCTTCCTCCTTCCTCTCTTAGCTCTGACTTTCTCTCTCTGGCCGTTCCTTCCTCGTCTCCTTCACTCACCTTCCTCCTGTCCTCCTTCCTCTCTTCGCTCTGACTTTCTCTCTCTGGTCGTTCCTTCCTCGTCTCCTTCACTCACCTTCCTCCTTCCTCTCTTACCTCTGACTTTCTCTCTCTGGCCGTTCCTTCCTCGTCTCCTTCACTCACCTTCCTCCTGTCCTCCTTCCTCTCTTAGCTCTGACTTTCTCTCTCTGGTCGTTCCTTCCTCGTCTCCTTCACTCACCTTCCTCCTGTCCTCCTCCTTCCTCTCTTCGCTCTGACTTTCTCTCTCTGGCCGTTCCTTCCTTGTCTCCTTCACTCACCTTCCTCCTTTCCTCCTTCCTCTCTTACCTCTGACTTTCTCTCTCTGGTCGTTCCTTCCTCGTCTCCTTCACTCACCTTCCTCCTTTCCTCCTTCCTCTCTTACCTCTGACTTTCTCTCTCTGGTCGTTCCTTCCTCGTCTCCTTCACTCACCTTCCTCCTGTCCTCCTTCCTCTCTTACCTCTGACTTTCTCTCTCTGGTCGTTCCTTCCTCGTCTCCTTCACTCACCTCCCTCCTGTCCTCCTTCCTCTCTTCGCTCTGACTTTCTCTCTCTGGTCGTTCCTTCCTCGTCTCCTTCACTCACCTCCCTCCTGTCCTCCTTCCTCTCTTAGCTCTGACTTTCTCTCTCTGGTCGTTCCTTCCTCGTCTCCTTCACTCACCTTCCTCCTGTCCTCCTTCCTCTCTTAGCTCTGACTTTCTCTCTCTGGTCGTTCCTTCCTCGTCTCCTTCACTCACATTCCTCCTTTCCTCCTTCCTCTCTTACCTCTGACTTTCTCTCTCTGGTCGTTCCTTCCTCGTCTCCTTCACTCGCCTTCCTCCTGTCCTCCTTCCTCTCTTAGCTCTGACTTTCTCTCTCTGGTCGTTCCTTCCTCGTCTCCTTCACTCACCTTCCTCCTGTCCTCCTTCCTCTCTTAGCTCTGACTTTCTCTCTCTGGTCGTTCCTTCCTCGTCTCCTTCACTCACCTTCCTCCTGTCCTCCTTCCTCTCTTACCTCTGACTTTCTCTCTCTGGCCGTTCCTTCCTCGTCTCCTTCACTCACCTTCCTCCTGTCCTCCTTCCTCTCTTCGCTCTGACTTTCTCTCTCTGGTCGTTCCTTCCTCGTCTCCTTCACTCACCTTCCTCCTGTCCTCCTCCTTCCTCTCTTAGCTCTGACTTTCTCTCTCTGGCCGTTCCTTCCTCGTCTCCTTCACTCACCTTCCTCCTGTCCTCCTTCCTCTCTTCGCTCTGACTTTCTCTCTCTGGTCGTTCCTTCCTCGTCTCCTTCACTCACCTTCCTCCTTCCTCTCTTAGCTCTGACTTTCTCTCTCTGGCCGTTCCTTCCTCGTCTCCTTCACTCACCTTCCTCCTGTCCTCCTTCCTCTCTTCGCTCTGACTTTCTCTCTCTGGTCGTTCCTTCCTCGTCTCCTTCACTCACCTTCCTCCTTCCTCTCTTACCTCTGACTTTCTCTCTCTGGCCGTTCCTTCCTCGTCTCCTTCACTCACCTTCCTCCTGTCCTCCTTCCTCTCTTAGCTCTGACTTTCTCTCTCTGGTCGTTCCTTCCTCGTCTCCTTCACTCACCTTCCTCCTGTCCTCCTTCCTCTCTTAGCTCTGACTTTCTCTCTCTGGTCATTCCTTCCCCGTCTCCTTCACTCACCTTCCTCCTGTCCTCCTTCCTCTCTTACCTCTGATTAACCTCCTAGCTTCCTATGAATCGTACATGTCCAGTCTGACCCCCCCTCTCTGTGTGTAGCGTACGACCCCCAGCAGATCTTCAAGTGCAAAGGAACGTTTGTGGGTCACCAGGGGCCCGTGTGGTGCCTCTGTGTTTACTCCGTTGGAGACCTGCTGTTCTCCGGCTCCTCGGATAAAACCATCAAGGTGACGGCAACGCAAAGGGAATGAAACACAGACACGTGCATCCTCTTGGTTTGAATCCTTTGAGACTCACTGCTGATATAGGACAGGGTTTTCAAACTCATGGATGTGTCACCTAAACCTCTCGGAGTACATTTTAGCAACACAAATCACAATCAGAAATCCTTCAATCGTCTCACAGCGAGGACATTTACAGCGTTACAGCAAAGAGACCGTTCAGATAATAAGTACAGGGCCAACAGACGTTAATGAAATCAACGCAGCATCATAAAAGCGAACTTATTTACAATAACTTGGAGCAGAAGTTCAATAAAAAAGGTCTCTTTAGCTGCTCTTCGTCCTGCTGTCTTTTATAACCTGTCATTGTTTATGATAATAAGGCATAATATGCAATTAAGCTAACAGTACTAAGTAGCTCAGTAAAATAGCATCTTACAGCATTTTATATTTGAGAATTATTGAAGGATAGCCCCTTGAGATGTCGCGTCACATTTTCGAGGGGGTCCTAAAACATAAATAATACACATATTATAAAACACATACAGACCGTTTCCTAACATTACATTTACTACAGATACACAGACAGCTAGCTCAACCCTTTATTATACTATCAATGTGGGGCTTCAATGAGAGTTCAGGGTCAAGGCAAGGGGTGGTCTAATGCAGTGGTTCTCAACTGGTGGGTCGCGACCCAAAAGTGGGTCGCGGACCCGTTTCAAGTGGGTCGCGGATGTGTGAGTGAAGAAAAAAAAGTTGAAAAAAAAATTGCAATTTTATTTTTTTTATTTTTTTGGGAAAAAATGCAAACTTTTATTTTGAAGGACCGATTTTCTAACGCTGTGCATTCAGTAGGCGTTGGACTGGAAGTACCGGAGACCATAAATGGTTTTGAAGATCGCAAGGTTGTGAGTTCAAATCCAGCCTGGAACACCACCACTAGTGTGCCCTAAGGCACTTAGCCCTCAGTTACTCCAGGGAGAACGTCCGTGTAATTGGTCATAGAGTGGCGAAGTCCCTCCCACTTACTTCCGGGTAATGGGACCTTATTTCGGAGAAATTATGCATTGAAGTCAATGGGGAGAGAAAACTTATCTTTCGATCCCGTTTGAATTGTGCCATGAATTACACATATGATGTTTGTCAATCTTAAAAAATCATTTCCATGTCAAAAAAGTCACAGTTTGTCTTAAAACTGTTGAAATATAAGACTTTGAAAAATACGAAACTAGAAAGACTACAAATCCCAGAGTCGCGTAAGTGATGTCACAATTGAGACACTACGATACACGTATAATACCGTATATATACGATCAGCGCCATATAGATATAATCTATCTATATGGCGCTGGCTAAGATAAGATAACTTTAACAAGATGCCTGTGTGCTTAGTACCAGGTTGTTATTATACCAGCAATGGGTCTTGCTCGTTCTTTCGCTTCCCGTCTGATGAAAGAGGAGTGTGTGGATCAAGCTAGCTAGCACGTTAGTTAGCATTACAGCCTTGTCATTTGTATTAGCCTTAACATGAAGTAACATTAAGTAACCCAAAATGTTAAACAGTAAGAGTAGTAGTCATATTTCGTGAACCCTTTGAAGAGTACTGTCACACCGGTGTGATCATTCTATAATACACCATTTAAGCCCGGGGGAGAAATGCTAACGCTAACGCTAGCATCGGCGATCTTCCCTACTTCATGCTATCTGCACAAATGGTTGACATTAAACATTAAAACGACCAGGCAGTTCAGAGAGAATCAAAGGAAGGCAGGCAGGCAGCTTTGCATGACATTCTTCAGGACGTGTTTCATTGTGGTGATAGTGAGGGTAGTCAATCGTTGTGTTGACAAGACAGTAGTGACGGCCATCTTGGTGACGTGTGTTGTAATGTTGACCAGAGATGTAGTTCATTGAGCGTTTCACACAAACAAATGTGTTACTTCACAGTTTTACGACACATTTCTTTTTTTTTTACTTGTAAAATTATCTTTTAAATTGACAAACATCATATGTGTAATTCGTGGCACAATTCAAATGGGATCGAAAGATAATCTTTCTCTCTCCATTGACTTCAATACATAACTTTTCCGAAATAAGGTCCCATGGAGGTCCACCGGAAGGGGAGGGACTTCGCCACTCTATTGTAAGTCGCTTTGGATAAAAGCGTCAGCTAAATGAAATATAATGTAAAGACAAAGTCCAGGATATTTGAATCATCACAAGGGGTGACCCATCGTCAAGTAATATGAAGGTCAAAGGGATATTAGTGCCGAACACCATGCTGCAGGACCTCTTATATGTATTGTAATATTTGCTGATGTTCTTAATGGGATGCACGAAGAGTTTCAGACTTGATCTGACAATATAGTCTTATCGTATCCTATATCATATGTCAGAGAACGAACTGAGGCAGTTCTCCATGAACTCATTTTTTTACAAAAACCAAACAGTTACTCTTGTTTCTCCAAACTGCAGACATCTCCACAATTATCTATTGTTATGTACAAACACTGACAAGATGGAGAAGTAACTCATACAACCTGCCTTTAGAATATCAGATCTATCTCTCTCTAAGAGACCTCAAGGTGCACTCAAACACAACAGGTATTTATATGTATGCAGTATGTTAATGTCTCCTCTCTCGCCTCAGGTGTGGGACACGTGCACCACCTACAAATGTCAGAAAACCCTGGAGGGTCACGATGGTATCGTGCTGGCTCTGTGTATCCAAGGGTAATAAGAAAACACATGCTAATCAACACACGCTGTGAATATAAGACCAAGCAAACTGGGAATAACCAGCTGACTCCAAAGCATGACTCTGATATGTTTTGTCTCCACAGGCCCAGGCTGTACAGCGGCTCTGCAGACTGCACCATCATCGTGAGTAACTGCTTCCTCTTTATAAAGAAAAAGGGTTGCAAAGTAGTAGCTGTGATGAGTCCGTGTTTCATCACTTCCCCTGGTCTGGAGGTCAATGGTTTAGTGAATGTGTTTTTGGTTGTTATCCTGAAATAAGAGCTGTAGTTAACACAAGCTGAAGAGATTTTAACATTTTGTTCTACGACATAAAACACGTCAGTAAATACCCCAATGGTGAATTTAAAAACGGACGATGCTAACAAGTGTCTAAATGAGACGACTAAACGTCATCACGCCCATCGTTAGCCTCCTTTAGCTTAGCGGTGGTGACGTGAAGTCATGTGACCGTGCTGTAGTTCCTTTATAGCCCAACGTTAGCCACCTTTAGCTTAGCGGTGGTGACGTGAAGTCATGTGACCGTGCTGTAGTTCCTTTATAGCCCAACATTAGCCGCCTTTAGCTTAGCTGTGGTGACGTGAAGTCATGTGACCGTGCTGTAGTTCCTTTATAGCCCAACATTAGCCTCCTTTAGCTTAGCGGTGGTGACGTGAAGTCATGTGACCTTGCTGTAGTTCCTTTACAGCCCAACATTAGCCTCCTTTAGCTTAGCGGTGGTGACGTGAAGTCATGTGACCGTGCTGTAGTTCCTGTATAGCCCAACATTAGCCTCCTTTAGCTTAGTGGTGGTGACGTGAAGTCATGTGACCGTGCTGTAGTTCCTTTATAGCCTAACATTAGCCTCCTTTAGCTTAGCGGTGGTGACGTGAAGTCATGTGACCGTGATGTAGTTCCTTTATAGCCTAACATTAGCTTTTCACTTCAGAAATCATAATGTGGTGTTAGTGGAGATTATCTTGCTGAATTATTTCCTGCAATAATCCAAAATCACATGTAGAAATCCCATTGGACCAGGGAGATGATGCCTTCAGGGTCCAACACAGAAATACGACATCCCTGCACCACTCTTTTTTTTTAATTTTTTTAATATGTTGAGTTGTTCTCTTTCTGTTGTGTGTTAGGTTTGGGACATCCAGACTCTGCAGAAAGTCAACACTATCCGTGCTCATGACAACCCTGTGTGCACGCTGGTCTCCTCTCACAACATGTTGTTCAGCGGCTCCCTCAAGGCCATTAAGGTACACTTTATGATGTATCATCCAATGTATGTTGTGTCGTCATCTTTTTACAGGCATCAGAATCATAATAGCTTTATTCGTCCCAAAGAGGGGACATTTGCATTTGTTACAGCAAGAAAAGAGCCAAAGACAGCCTTATATATCTTCCACTAAAGTATGGGTTTGTTTAAAAAGAAAGTGCCTTAACTCAACAGTAGAAGTAGTGTGATGAAGAAATGAAATGGAACTAGGCCAAAGCTCTGAGATCATGCAGTTAAACCCAAGAGGTAAATATTGTTTATCACCAAGTGTTGGTTTCGGTGGGACGACTGCCAGGAATACAGATTAGTGACATTACAGATACTTGGCGAGTTATTGTGGTATAACTTCTGGTCTGTATTAGCTTAAGATATAAGATACGATGGAACTTTATTTATCCCCGTGGGGAAATTCAGGCAACAACGGGGTCAGAGTGAAATAACAGGTTTCAAAGAAGTTAAAATACAATACAAATATAAATAATATTTAAAAGTGAAATGGATATCGCAGTAAACCGTTAGTCATATTATGTATATTAGGGATATGTTACATTTTTTAAGTTATAAGTTCTTTAGTAAGTGCTGTTGCTTGGCAGGACTTCACTGCTGGGATCTGTAGTAGAAGTGAGATTTAATTGGATTTAAGTATCTTAACTAAGTAATTAATTACCAGGAAAGCTTTCAGTCTTAACTCATAAGAACTCATAAGAAGAAATGTTCAGTGAGAAGGAGCAGAGGCTGTCGGCAGATCTTTGTTAAAATGGTTACAAGCAAGTGAGAGGAGGGAATTGTGGTTCTGAGTGAGTGTGTGTGAATGTGAGTGTGTGTGTGTGTGTGTGTGTGTGTGATGTCATTCCTCTTACACAGGGACTTTCCTTTCTTTCCCAACTCGAGTGCCTCCTCCTCCCGTCGCCCAGCTTCTCTCTATTCCAGCTCACTGACATCATCTCTCACTTTATTCACCACTCTGTGCCACATGTGAGCGTGTGGAGGATTTACTGAAGGCAGTGAACGCACATTGTGTTAAGAGTCCTCTCCTGCTCATGTCTCTACTGGGACATGTCTCCATGCTTTAATGTTCAAAAAGCTCTTTATTTTACTCATACTGCCCGTCCCGCTCCTTAGCCTATCACGTACAATGTGGTGAAGCACTAGCCAATAGAATAGGAGCGCTAGTGTTCCATAGTGATGTCACTATGTTCAGGAAGTAAACAAAGGAGGTCTGCCTCCTGTACACAAACTAGGAGCTCTGGTTTAGTAAATAAGATACGATAATACTTTGTTGGTCTGAAATGCTCCTTGCATCACAGCAGCTCCATGTGTAACATCAACAGATATCAAGAGACAACACGTGAACAACAAACATTGAACATAACAGCACGATCAGTGAGAGAAAACCTGCTCAAAGAGCCTTCAGCGTGCATTTGATCTGGATTCAGCTCTGTGAAGTTTTGAGTATTTGTTGTAATCATCCTGATACCCCTCCCCTGTGTTCAGGTGTGGGACATCGTGAGCACGGAGCTGAAGCTGAAGAAGGAGCTGACCGGTCTGAACCACTGGGTCCGAGCACTGGTCGCCTCGCAGAACCACCTGTACAGCGGCTCCTATCAGACCATCAAGGTAGGTGTTCACACCATGGATGTTTAATAAGAACTGGATACAGCGTGGGAGGCGGGGTCTCGTTCTTTCCTATGAGAGCTGCTCATTGGCGCATGAGGACAAAACGGCCCAACTTTTGAGAGAGCGAAACGTCACAGATTACCCATCATGCCTAGCTGTCAGAGCAGAAGAACCAATATGTGCAGACTTCATAGAGCATGAGTTAAAGGGGACCTATCATGCAAAATGCACTTGTGTACGTCTTTTCTACATGAATATGTGTCCCCGGTGTTCCAGGGAACTCACCAAGTGTCAGAAAACACAACCCTCTCTATTTTCCTCCATACCCAAATCTCTAAAAAAGGGGCTGCAACGGATTTGAACACTGTCCTGACGTCAGGACGGTGGCGCTACGGCTATTAGGCCAACTCCACCAATCAGGAGGAGACAGCCACGGCCATTGCCGTTCGAAAGCGCTGGAGACGCTGTAGTACATATGCCAGGCCAGTAGATGGTGCTGTTCTCACTGAATCTGCCCAGAGCTAGAAATTGTCAAATTGAGCAAAATGAGGCATGGCTAAAATGCATGATCTGTTTGGTATTTTGAAAAAAAAAAAAGTATAAATATGCCTTAGATAGGTATGGTCCTACACTATATTATTCAAATATAGCATGATAGGTCCACTTTAAGTTTCCCTTAAGTCCCGCCTCTTGTCATTAAGCCCCGCCCCCCGAGCTCCCACTCTCGGCTCACTAGAATGAATGGAGAGAGAAAATCAATCTAGATTCGGCTTTTAGTGCATTTTACAACTTTAAGGACCGAATGATTCTAATAAGGGCTATCATATAGTTCATACTGGCAAGTTTATTTAGTTTAAAAAAAAATATCCGCTGATTTACAGACGTCTCTTTCCCCATGTTAGTCAATGGGGAAAAGTCTTTCTGGGCCCAGTGACGTCACGGACTGATACGGAAGTTGTAGAACCGCCGTTTGGACACAACAAATATTTTCCTCAGAGTCCGGAGCACTTCCTCGGGGCTTGGTGCACACACACAGTTCAACTTCCTCAACTTCATTGTCCAATCACGGCTCATGCTGTTGGAGAATGTATTAATGAGAGCAAAGTGACTGAAAGCATGTTATTCGTGCTTCAGATCTGGGATATCCGCTCTCTGGACTGTGTTCACGTCCTGCAGACCAGCGGAGGCAGCGTTTACTCCATCGCCGTCACCAACCACCACATCGTCTGCGGCACCTACGAGAACCTCATCCATGTGAGGGACACACACACACACACACATATATACATACAGACACACACACACACACACACACACACACTCCAATAAATACACATACTATATGTCACTTTCTTCTTTTCTGCAAAACCAAAATGTCGACCAGTGACTGCTTTGTCTTTCGACACATCAACACCAGACTTATGCTCTAACCTCTCTGTGTGTGGTGTGTGTGTTGTGTGTGTGGTGTGTGGGTGTGTGTGTGTGTGTGTGTGTGTGTGTGTGTGTGTGTGTGTGTGTGTGTGTGTGTGTGTGTGTGTGTGTGTGTGGTGTGTGTGTGTGTGGGTGTGTGTGTGTGTGTGTGTGTGTGTGGCGTGTGTGGTGTTGTGTGGTGTGTGTGTGTGTGTGTGTGTGTGTGTGTGTGTGTGTGTGTCCAGGTGTGGGACATCGAGTCTAAAGAGCAGGTCCGGACTCTGACGGGTCACGTGGGAACAGTCTACGCTCTCGCCGTCATCTCCACCCCCGACCAGACCAAAGTGTTCAGCGCCTCCTACGACCGCTCCCTCAGGGTGAGTGTGTGTGTTGTAGTACCGCCGTGTGGCCACTACAAAAATGTGCCTCAACATCCCGCGCACTTCCTGGGGACTTGAGGTAGACGTTTGGTTTGTGTATAAACATGTGTACTTCCTGCTGATAATGAAATATGTGTGTGTGTAGGTGTGGAGCATGGACAACATGATCTGTACTCAGACTCTGCTCAGACATCAGGGCAGCGTCACGGCTCTCGCTGTCTCCAGAGGACGCCTCTTCTCCGGAGCCGTGGACAGCACCGTCAAGGTACACACACACCGTCACACACGCACACCATCAAGGTACACACACACCGTCAAGGTACACACACACCGTCACACACACACACCGTCAAGGTACACACACCGTCACACACGCACACCATCAAGGTACACACACACCGTCACACACGCACACCATCAAGGTACACACACACCGTCAAGGTACACACACACGTCACACACCGTCAAGGTACACACACACCGTCACACACAAGTCAAGGTACACACACACCGTCACACACACACCGTCAAGGTACACACACATGTCACACACCGTCAAGGTACACACACACGTCACACACAAGTCAAGGTACACACACACCGTCACACACACACCGTCAAGGTACACACAAACACACACCGTCACACACACCATCACGGTACACACACAAACACACACCGTCACACACACCGTCAAGATACAAACACACCGTCACACACGCACACACACCGTCACGCACAAGTCAAGGTACACACACACCGTCACGCACACCGTCAAGGTACACACCGTCACACACACCGTCAAGGTACAAACACACCGTCACACACGCACACACACCGTCACGCACAAGTCAAGGTACACACACGTCACGCACACCGTCAATGTACACACACCGTCACACACGCACACACACCGTCACACACACCGTCAAGATACAAACACACCGTCGCACACACACCGTCACGCACAAGTCAAGGTACACACCATCACACACACCGTCAAGGTACAAACACACCGTCACACACGCACACACACCGTCACGCACAAGTCAAGGTACACACACGTCACGCACACCGTCAATGTACACACACCGTCACACACGCACACACACCGTCACACACACCGTCAAGATACAAACACACCGTCACACACACCGTCACACACAAGTCAAGGTACACACACACCGTCACACACACCATCAAGGTACACACACACCGTCACACACACCATCAAGGTACACACACCGTCACACACCATCAAGGTACACACACAAACACACACCGTCAAGATACACACACACCGTCACACACACCGTCAAGATACAAACACACCGTCACACACACCGTCAAGATACAAACACACCGTCACACACACCATCAAGATACAAACACACCGTCACACACACCGTCACACACAAGTCAAGGTACACACACACCGTCACACACACCATCAAGGTACACACACACCGTCACACACACCATCAAGGTACACACACACCGTCACACACCATCAAGGTACACACACAAACACACACCGTCAAGATACACACACACCGTCACACACGCACACACACCGTCACACACACCGTCAAGATACAAACACACCGTCACACACACCGTCACACACAAGTCAAGGTACACACACACCGTCACACACACCATCAAGGTACACACACACCGTCACACACACCATCAAGGTACACACACAAACACACACCGTCAAGATACACACACACCGTCACACACACCGTCAAGATACAAACACACCGTCACACACACCGTCAAGATACAAACACACCGTCACACACACCATCAAGATACAAACACACCGTCACACACACCATCAAGGTACAAACACAAACACACACCGTCAAGATACACACACACCGTCACACACACCGTCAAGATACACACACAAACACACACCGTCAAGATACACACACACCGTCACACACACCGTCAAGATACACACACACCGTCACGCACACCGTCAAGATACACACACACCGTTACGCACACCGTCAAGGTACAAACACACCGTCACGCACACCATCAAGGTACACACACACCATCACGCACACCATCAAGGTACACACACACCGTCACACACAAGTCAAGGTACACACACACCATCAAGGTACACACACACCGTCACACACCATCAAGGTACACACACACCGTCACATCAGGATGATGTTCCATACGTACAGAATCATTGTATGTTCTGATCCTACGGTAACGTCTCTCTCTCTCTCAGGTGTGGACGTGTTAAACATCGTTTCGTCTCGTCTTGCTCTCGGACAGCTGAGCGATTTCTCTTCCATCGTTTCCTCTTCCTTCTCTGATTGTGATTGGCCGACAGCAGCCCCATATAAACCGGAGCTGCGTCGGAGACGTTTTACTAAGTGTTGCTTTTCAAACAAACCAACCCTCCTACGACCTCATCACCAGTGCATTATGGGGCAGAAAGAGACGTTTCTGTCCTGCTTCCTGTTAGAAACGTCCTGATGATGCATCCTGTTCACTTATCTAAAGGCTGGTTTCACACACAGGGAGACACACACACACACACACACACGTCTATTTTAAGTATCCCAGAATGCACCAGGACAAAGACCTTTACTTTGCGAAGTGGAAAGTATGTATGCAATTTGGAGATACTGTGCTACATTTCTCCAACAACTTTAGTTACCATGCCGGTTTATATTATTAATTAAAGTATAAACACCTGCTAACGTACCAGGAAGTATAAAGTCATTCAAGTTAGCCCTACCTTTACCAGCTGCAGAATTAAAATGACACATTAATGCATCAATAATTACAAATATATATATATCGATGCTTTTTTACTTTAACCGTAAATGTTTTGAATGCAGGGCTTTTACTTGTAACAGAGTATATCTACACTGTAGTAGTAATACTTCTTTAGTTAAAGTACTTCTTCCACCTCAGCAAGACGTCATTGAGCACCACACAGGACTTCCCTTTAGCTAGAGAGATGAGTTGTGTAATAAAGTAGTTCCTCATGAAGAAATAAGGGAGTCACAGCGAGCGCACAGTCACCGTCCTGTCATTTATATTAAAGTTCAACACTCCCTCTTAGAGTCTATAGGTAATCATATTCTGCATCGTGAGTACGAACTATATGGTTTAAGAGTTTTAAAAAGTACATCAAATACTTTTCCGTCTCTACTCGATTAGTGTTAAACTCACAATGTGCCAATACGACTACTTGTGAGATTTGAAGTAGACACAAAAAGAGCTGAGAAACATCGACTAAGGTTGTGTTTATGAGGAATCATGGATGTATAATAAGAACTGGATACAGCGTGGGAGGCGGGGCTTGGAGTTCCTCATTGGCGCATGAACACAAAATGGCCCAACTTTTGAGAGAGAAACGTCACGAAAGTATTCATATAATCATATAATCCGTTCTTATTGTGCGTCCATGGGTTAAGGTACAACTCATGTAGTACTGAACACGTCACATGAACGTGCCGGGCGGCGCGGCCCCGTGGGTTAGATGCACGTTCATAATGCCGAGGGAAATAACTCTCAGAATAACGTTATTAGCACGTTTTACAACTTGAGGACCGAATGTTTTTAATAAGGGCTATACAAATGTTCATACTGGGTAGTTTATTTAGTTTAAAAAAAATTATCCAATGATTTACAGACGTCTAATTTCCCAATGTTAGTCAATGGGAAAAAGTCTTTCCGGGCCCAGGGACTGATAGTGTAGTACCTCCGTTTGGCCACAACGAATATTTTCCTCAGAGTCCGGCGCACTTCCTGGGGGCTTGTGAGGAATGAGTCAGCGTTTCATCACTTCCTGTCCCCCCGTCTGGAAGTCAATGGTTTTCTGGATGTGTTTTTCGTTGTTAGCCTGAAATAAGATGTGTGATGAAGAGATTTTGATTCTACCACATAAAACGCGTCAGTAAACTAAATACCCCACCTTTGCACCTTTGGGACATTTCCTCCTTTTTTCCGGGTGTTCCTCCCCAGATTCTGTGAAACCAGCCTTTCATAAACTCCTCGGTACGACTTTACAATCAGACTACCCGTATAAAGGGTTCACGAATAGTTTGTAATTCATTTATTAATTAGGTTGTGAACACTTTATAAATCCTTAATGAGCTTTTATAAGACATGAGATAAACAGGGCGACTGTGACCGGTTGCTTGCCAAATAGTGAGCCCACATTTATCTGTACTGCTCAGCCTTATATTGGCTACCTAGCTTACTTCGTCTCCTTCATCAGCCAGCATCCTTGGTATCTGTTGTTCACTGAGTTGATTCTCGCTAAGTAGCCAATATAAGGCTTAGTCATCTTGCCAAATAGTGAGCCCACATTTATCTGTACTACTAAGTCTTATTAGTAATGGTAGTAACTCATTAATAAATGGCTATAAGAGATGCCAAGAAACATCAAGATGGAAGAATCAACTCAGTGAGCAACAGATACCAAGGATGCTGGCTGATGAAGAAGACGAAGTAAGCTAGGTAGTCAATATAAGGCTTAGTCATCTTGCCAAATAGTGAGCCCACATGTATCTGTACTGCTAAGCCTTATATTGGCTACCTAGCTTACTTCGTCTTCTTCATCAGCCAGCATCCTTGGTATCTGTTGAGTTGATTCTTGCTAAGTAGTCAATATAAGGCGTAGTCATCTTGCCAAATAGTGAGCCTGTGTTGATGTTTGAAAACGATGTAAGAACTGGTTTGTAAATGGTTCTTAATGATTAATAAAGTGTTTACAACCTGATTAATAACCTAATTAATAACCCGTTATGAATCCTTTATAAGGGTGGTCTTATTGTAAAGTGGTACCAACTCCTTTTATCAGTGACGTCTGTACAGAGACAGATGTTATGTAGTGCCATCATAGAGCCAGTAACGGTTGTACAGATGTGTAAAATACCACAGAGGGAGGAGGGAGGCAGTGTGTGTGTGTGTGTGTTACTGTGTAAAAGTGTGTGTTTTAATGAGTGCCATATGTGTGTATGAAGCGAGGAAGGACTGCCTCCCCTCTTCTTCCCCCCCCCCCCCCGATCTCTAACAAACCCACAGATTGATTTTGTTTCATGACGAGCAGCTGATTGTGTGACCTTTAACCTCCAGGATCTTGAGAGAAAGTGCCATCAGAGGATGTTTCAGGACCCATATTGGGTTAAAAATAATACAAAAAAAGACTATTAATGCCTGGGAGGAAGAGGGGGGGGGGGGCGTTGGATCATGTACATTCACTCCAAATTTAGGTTTTTACAGTTGCCTTGATTTAAAGCAGCCTTGAGGAAGGAGGTGTTCACTGTCTCAGTGATTTATTGTAATAAACGTGTAATCATGTCGCCTGTGATGATCATCAATAAACTGTTGTACACTTTCACACGCGCTGATCTCAGTTATTTCAGAAATAAGAAGCACCCACTGTGTGTTGAGGGAACGCAACATAAAACCAGTTGGGAAACATTGATTTTGGTGCTTTGAAATATGTTCTTTATTCCCCCATCGTCACCAAGACTTGAAATAACTCTTTTCTGATGAAGAGTCGTGAAGACTGCTTTTCTGAGTGATAACATTTAGTTTTTTCTTTTGTACTGATGGTCTCATAACTATTTGTACATCCATGTCACATCCCTGCAGCCCACATGTGCTGATAGCTTAGCTTGTGATGAAAAGAAACATGTCTATAGTTGATTGTGCAGCTCAGGGTTCATGTTTAAAAGCATTTTTACAACAAAAAAAACAGGCGAGGCAAATATGAGAAAAACTCACAGGAGAAAAACGTTTTGATATTCTTTGGGATTATAAAACTGAATTTCCAGTCTTGAATTTAAATGAAAAAGGTGGATTTTATTTATTATCTCTATCCGAGCCAATGATAGACTAATGTTTAGTTTTCGAATATAAGATTACACGTTCATAGAGAAAAACAGAATTTACGTTAAAATAAAGTGATATTCTGAGATTGAAGTGATATGTTTACTACAAATGAATCACACATTTAAAGTGCACCTATCATGCTATTTTTAGGCATATATTATGGGTCTCAGATATATAAAAACATGCCTGATCAGAATTCTAACGGAGATAAAGTTAAATTCTGCGGTGATAAAACGCCATCCTGTTCTAAACCACATCAAGGATTATTTCTGAAACAGGATGGAGCTCAAATGCTTTTTCTCTCTCAGGTTTACCACAAGGTGAGTTCCTTTTTATATTTCCTGATTCTTTACACATGTGCTCTCCAGTACAGGTTAGCTCTGAGTGTTAGCGAGGCTTGCTAATGTAAACAAAGACCAGATTACGTCCAAAACACGTCAGGCATTGTTTCTGATAGAGAGGCGAAGTCCCTCCCTTCCCGGTGGACCCCATGGGACCTTATTTCGGAAAAATTATGTGGGTCATTCCAGAATTGGAGGACACCAACATTTTTGAAAAATGAACCTTTCATTTTATTCTTTTTTGTTATGTATTTAGGAAAAACAGATAATAAACAGGGTTGAAAATCAATGCTAATTTTAGCTTTTACCTCAGGAATTAATGCTAGCTGCACAATGTAATGCTATTGTCAAGGAATGGACACACTTAGATATTTAACTAAAGAAAGATACATTTGAAATTAATTTGTTTTAGTCTCATAATGTGAGTAACAGGGTTGCGTTTGTATGAGTGCCACACTCCTTCAAGAGTGACAAGATTGAAAATATATTACAAATAAAAGAGAGGACTTAGTTGTGGTCTACCCATGGTAGTAGCACATGGCTTGCTGATGTCCTTTCCACTGTGTCATGCGACAAACAGTTTTTTCACTTCCTCTGCCAAGCTAAAAAGGTTTCGGTAGGGTTGCGCGCATGTTGAGGGACACACCTTCTGTGCAAAATTACTGTTATTTAAAATGTGTTTATGATTTAACAAATTGATTTTACCATTACAAGACACATATATCAATAGAATAATACCAAAAAAAGGAAATAAAAACCCTATTTGAAATGTTATATTTGACATGCAAGTTGGTCACCAAGAAGCTGGGACAAGAGAAAAGGGCAATTTTAGGGGGTGTTCGAGAGCTATTTGATATTTTAAATAATATTTTGAAACCACTTTTTCTACAACTTTATATGCATCTTGTCTCAAGACAAGTATATTTAACACAACAAGTGCATGTCTTAGCTTTTTGGGCATGGATTATTAGATTTTTTATATGGGGGACATGAAATGTCCTCCAATTCTGGAATGACCCATGTATTGAAATCAATGGAGAGAGAAAGATTATCTTTCGATCCCGTTTGAATTGTGCCATGAATTACACATATGATGTTTGTCAATCTTACAAAATAATTTCCATGTCAAAAAAGTCACAGTTTGTCGTAAGACTGTTGAAATATAAGACTATGAAAAATACGCAACTAGAAAGACTACAAATCCCAGAGTCCCGGTCCCGCATGCTGGCTCTTACGAACCGACTAACTCCCCTTGTGTGTATGTACAGCTCTCAACATGCCCAGACTTGGAGTGATTTTCACCTCTTTTAATACTTTCCGCCTCATTCTGAAAGAAAGAAGTGAAATGTGCCAACGTGACGGCCGTCTTGGTGTGTGGTGCGAGACGGGAGATGTAGTTCATTGAGTGTTTCACACAAACAAATGTGTTACTTCACAGTTTTACGACACATTTTTATTTTTTTTACTTGCAAAATTATCTTTTAAATTGACAAACATCATATGTGTAATTCGTGGCACAATTCAAACGGGATCGAAAGATAATCTTTCTCTCTCCATTGACTTCAATACATACTTTTCCCGAAATAAGGTCCCATGGAGGTCCACCGGAAGGGGAGGGACTTCGCCTCTCTATGGTAATGTATTGTGTCCTTGGGCAAGGCACTTCCTCCTAAATACCTCCAGGTGTGACATGTCTGATATATCTAATGTAAAGCACAAAAATAAATACCATGAATTATTATTATATCTACATCATCAGCTTCGATATTCATAATCCAGCATGATTCTGAAATGGGAAAATACACATTGTAGAAGTGCTTTTACTTTTGGTACTTTAAGTATATTTTGTACTTTTAAATAGAAAAATGAACTGATGATTTCTTGCAGTGTGGTGCTGCCCCCTGCAGGAGGAAGAGTGAAATACACAGGAAGCAGTTTGTATCGAACATTTATTTATTCAGAGCAGATGGACACACACACACACACACACACACACACACACACACACACACACACACACACACACACACACACACACTGCTCTCGATAAGCACAGGCGGAAAATAAAACAGCTTCTTCTTCTTCTACAGAAAATGATCAGAACGTTTCTTCCACAACTTTTTTTACCATCTTTGTTTTTGTTTCTGTTTTTTTAACCATTCCACCTTTTTAACGTTCTTCAGGGAAACTCCTACAGCGAGAGAGACGACCAAAGTGAGACCAGAGGAAGAGGAGGAAGTGTTAAACGTGACTTTATAAAGTGGTGTTGTTAGAGGAAAGGGAGGAAACTACAGCTGACCTTTGACCTCTGATCCGGGGAAGTTGTCGTGGATTCACGTGGTTTAAAATAAATTAGAGAAATGTCAGTCAGATGGGATCAGATGTAGGAAAACTCAAATATATTTACACCTACATTTATTATAGTATTTACCTGGTATTTATCTTACCGGCTGGTTTTTAGGAAATCAGCATTAAAACTGGTCAAATTGCAGATGTGCTATTGGAATAATTGAATGTCTAATCGTCCAATCAGAGGAGAGGAGATCTTGTGGCACTGACTGTGAGTTAACTATGGAAGACCAATTCTGGCAATGCAATTAAAAAGTTATTATTATGAGAAATTACTTAGAAAAGATTAAATATCTCAAGATAAAAAGAAACACATTTTGAGTCATTGTTCTTGCTATACTTTGTCATTATTTCGAACCAATATGTATTTTTTTTGTCAACACTTAGTTATTTGGAGATAAAAAGGTCATTGTTTTGAAATAATAATTCATTATTTTGCAGAATTGAGTCATTATTTCAAAAATACTTACTTTTGAAGTTGCATTTTATCAGATATTTCTTATTACTACCCATTACGTACTTGTTTAACATGTTGCTGCATTGAAAACATTTCCCAATTTAGGATTAACAAAGTATATCTTATCTTATTTTAAAAGTCATTTTTGGCAAATTAAGTAATTACTTTCAGACACTTCTTTGTTCCTGATACTATGTTGTTATTTTTAGCTTCTTATTCAATATTTTTGCAATACTAAGTACATTTTTACAGATGGTAAAAGGACTGTACTTATATAGCGCTTTATCCAGTCTTTAAGACTCCTCAAAGCGCTTTACATACCACATGTCCTTCACCCATTCACACAGAGCAGTGAACCTTACTCTAGGACCTAACACTCACACACCGTTGGCCATCGGGAGCAGCTCAGGGTCAAGTCTCTTGCCCAAGGATACATCGACATGTTGACTGCACGGGCTGGGATCGAACCCACAACCTTCTGGTGGAAAGACGACCGCACTCACTCACAGCCACAGTCGCCCAGTTTAGTGAGATGAAATATTTAGTCATTATTACCGGATACTTAGTCACTTTTTCTGATCCTAAATCATTATTGTTTCTGTTCTGATTTTATGTAAAGCATCTTTGAGCATTTGGAAAAGCGCTATAAACATCCCACTTATTATTATTAATTTAATATAAGGTCATTATTTCCAGAAAATGTGTCATTATTTTTTTGGTAAAACCAGGTAATTACATCACCTTAGAAAGTGATGTATATTACTTAATACTAATATTAAATCAGTATTTCCAGATACACTTTGGGTACATTTTAAAGTAATACTAAGTCACTTTTTATTTGCAGATATATAGTCATTGCCTACAGTATGTCAATATTTCTTGTATTTTTCTCATAATAATGACCGACAGGATCTTTATTTTTAAACATATTTTCAGAAATGTGCTTCCTTTAATAACAGCAGGTGGAGTTGAGATGTTATTTGTTTTAATGTCATGTTTTTATGTTAAATATCACGTCTAAATAGTGATTTTCGAGGAGCAGCATACCTTCTTTTTTTAGACCATGAACCAACAAAGCAAAAACATAGCGAGAGATCTTCATATTTTATAAACACCCATCCACTGTACTGTAGTCAGACCAAAATCACAACGCAAGGCACATGTTTCAAAGAAAAAACATTGCATTTAAAATAATACAAAATAATAAAACAGAACAAGAATTGCTTGTATTATACACATCGCCACACCCACGTACACATGTAGGCAGAGATCAAATAATAATTAAAATAACACAAATGCTTCCTGGAAATATCCCATCATGGTATCCTACAATGAGTCTTCAGTCACTTAAGCATGGAGAAGCAAACACTCAGATTAGATCTGTTCACTTTGAAAAATATTCTTCAGGATGACACACACATCATAAATACATTTCTTATTTTTTTGTTGCAAATATCCATATATATAATCTCTATGTTTTTCATAATTTAAATACCACAACTATTCTCTGAATTCATTTTATATAGGGAGTGTGGCTGCTGCTGCGAAACCTGGATTTTCTTTAAGGACCGAGGCGAGTTTGAGGAATTTAAAGAGGCACTTCACATAAATCCTAAAACCGGGAAGTCAGTCGGCAATTTAGCATTTCCTGACGCTTTTTCTGAATGTGTTTTTGGGTTGTTAGCCTGAAATAAGATCTGTGGTTAGCACAAGCTGAAGAGATTTTAACGTTTTGTTCTACGACGTTGCTAACAAGTGTCTAAATGAGACGACAAAAGGTCATCACGCCCAACATTAGCCACCTTTAGCTTAGCGGTGTTGACGTGAAGTCATGTGACCGTCCTGTAGTTCCTTTATAGCCCAACATTAGCCACCTTTAGCTTAGCGGTGTTGACGTGAAGTAATGTGACCGTGCTGTAGTTCCTTTATAGCCCAACATTAGCCACCTTTAGCTTAGCGGTGTTGACGTGAAGTCATGTGACCGTCCTGTAGTTCCTTTATAGCCCAACATTAGCCACCTTTAGCTTAGCGGTGTTGACGTGAAGTAATGTGACCGTGCTGTAGTTCCTTCATAGCCCAACATTAGCCACCTTTAGCTTAGCAGTGGTGACGTGAAGTCATGTGACCGTGCTGTAGTTCCTTTATAGCCCAACATTAGCCACCTTTAGCTTAGCGGCGGTGACGTGAGGTCATGTGACCGTGCTGCTGTAGTTCCTCTATAGCCCAACATTAGCTTTTTGACTTCAGAAATCATAAAGTGGTTAATATGTGGAGATTATCCTGCTGAACTAAATGTGTAAGTATCAGAAACCTTGAGAATTTTTTTTGCAATAATCCAAAATCACATGGAGAAATCCCATTGGACCAGGGAGATGCTGCCGTCAGGGTCCAACACAGAAATACCACATCTCTGCACCTCTCTTGAGTTGCATTATGGGTAGTGTAGTATACCGCTATGGAAGTGCCTCTTTAAATGCAAACCGTCCCTCTTCACAGATCTCTGCTGCCGCTCACTCCATCAGCACCTTTTTTAAAAATGTTTATCCCATGTCCCAAAGCAACACATTGTTTAGTAACCATGGTGACGATGATCTCGATGGTGAGGGTGATGATGTAGATTGTCATGGCAACACGGGTGGGTGGTTAGGAAGGTGTGGGACGAAGGAGATGGAGATGAACAGAGGATGATTGTTCGCTGAAGGTTTATTGTAATTTACTAATGAAATACCCGGGAATCCACGCAGGGATTTGGGCATATTATGGATCTTTTTATATGAATGAATACAGGGGATTATATAAATAGGGATGCAGTATCCAAACTGATCATTAAATGGATCCAGTGTGGAAGCAAGATGTGACCTTTTTGTAGTGTTTTTACTACTCTCTTCCAAGCCACCAGACTCCATCGACAAATAATTGTAATTTTATGAAACACAGGAGTTGTTTTGTGTTATTGTGCAACTTTGGTGACTGAATGTAACGGTGATTCTTTCTCCATGATGTCAATGGAGTCTGGTCACCTTGAAAATGTAACTATCTCTTCAAAATGTGCCTGAAGGGGAGGTTTATATTTGGGATTTTCAGAAGAGAAAAAGTTGCATTAAAGCATCTCTACTTAACGGTGTTTGAAAATTAATTTGAGTGTTTTAATCAAAATATGTCTGGGGATCCTGAAATCCGTTGCCCTTATTTCCAACAACAGCAGGTATCAGGAATGATTGAAGAACTGAGTAGAAACATGGCAATGCTCTCCTTCAAGCCACCAGACCCCATTCACAAAGACAGTCAATTTACTTTAAAAACAAGTTGCAGATTTACTGCTGTTATATCCCGGCGTCTAGGGAAACCTAACAACTCCACTTTAAAATATAATATAACACACTGTAGTTTGCCGTATATACTCATTGTCCTAAGTCTTTTTGTTTGTTTAGCTTTTAAGGTTATTTGTATAGTTACATTTACATCTGGTCTAAATACTTGCCTTTGTTTCTTAAAATACTTATTTTTTATTATCCTTATATATTAAACATTTGTTACGTTGTATATGTTCGCCCCACCAGATACCAAAGCAAATTCCTTGGGGGCTCGTCCGGGATCAGAACCCGGGTCTCTCTCACCCAAAGCAATCCTACTCCTAGACCACATTTCTTCGGGGTTGTTATGGGTTACTGTGTTTCATTCTCTGTGACAGATCTGTGTGTGAGAGTGTGCAGATGGTGATTTATATTACGTCCCGGGTCTATGGTAACCTAACATATTTTGGGGGCTCGTCCGGGATCACCCAACGCAAGAATCATACCCCTAGACCACATTTGTTGGGGGTGTTATGACCCTGGGTTCTTGTGTTTCACTTTCTGTGACAGATCAGTGAGTGAGAGCTTGTTGATGGTGATTTATATCAGTAAATCGGTACGCGGACCCCTAGGGGTACGTTGGAGTATTGCAGGGGGTACGTGAGATTTTTTGTTTATGTTGATTTAAAAACATCAGTCGTGCATAACTCCTAAAAATAATGATACTATAATAAATGAAATAAAAAATGTACATTCAAATTCGGTAAAAAACATTTTATATTCAACATTTCTGTTTTTAACACTAGCGGGGTCATTTCGAAAGGCTTTTTCCCCCTACCTACGCTAATCAGGGGGTACTTTGTTGACATTTTTTTCAAAGGTGGTACATTATTGAAAGAAGTTTGAGAACCACTGATTTATATTATGTCCCGGGTCTAGGGGAACCTCACAAATGTTTGGGTGCCCGTGCGGGATCGTAACCTGGGTCATCTCATAATGTCCCGGGGTCTTAACCCTTTCTGTACCGACCGACCAGTTATTGTTTCTGTCAATGGAGTTGGGTCCTAACTGGACTTCTCTTGCAGATTTACTGCTGCATCAATTGTTTTGGCACTCCATAGCTTCTCTTTGGATAACTGGACACACTGAACATTTATATTTAATTTAATAATCCATCCCCTACACTCTGAATGTAAATAATATCCTGCTTTATACCGTGTCTAAAGCCCTTCAATAGTGTTCTATTGTCAGAGTTTGTAGATGTGTTATCTTCACGGTCTACTGTATATTTTCTATTTTGAGATGTTTAAATTCTAGTATTGTTTATTTATACATATGTGCATCTTCAGGGGTTGATTACATTAGATTATCAGAGGAGAAAAGGTTACAAAACGTTTTTTGTCCGACTCCGAACCAACCAAAGGTACAAATACTGTCTTTATCAATGTAGTCTGGTGACCTTGAAAATGGATGAATGCACCCCTACTTGAAAGTGTTTGATAATGAATTTGTCATTGGATTTAAGTATGATATATTTCTTTAAATTTGTTACCTGAAGTTTGTTGCGTTGCCCTTATTTTTTGCAGGTATCAGGAATGATTTGAACTGAGCTGTGACTCTGCAGCTTGTTACAACAGAGCCCAAATCTCACATTTAACCCAACAATAACTTTGACCTCCATCTTCCCTTTTCTAACTTTCCGAACCTTATCCACCAACACCTAACGTCTTCTTTCAGACAACCTGCTGCAGTTTCTCTCGTTAAATATTGATTTCATATTGTGCGGGCTCCCGTGGCTGCATTGTGCTTCTCCTGTCAGCAATGTTTTTTATTTGGAGGGGGCGGAAATAATGAGGATGGAGCAGAGTGTATGACCGCAGCCAGGACAGGAAACTCAATCCTGAAATTCCAACAATTCACAAGCACACATCCGTCTCAAACACACACACACACACATTGTCACACACACACTGTCACACACACACACCTCAGGAGCTTGTTTTGGTCACGGATACAAATCTTTCCTCCGAGTCCTTTCACATGGTCACAACACCAGAGGTTCCACACAGACATCAAACCAAGAGCTTCATATTTATCGTTATATTATTATTATTATCATATATTACTGTGCTAATGCAGGACTTTTTCAGTAGATATAAACTCTCCATGCTTAGAATGTACACATACCAGACTATGATTCAGCACACAGGTGGTGCTTCGATTAGTTTTTGTTTCGCCGTCAGGAGTGGAAAACACCCGCGGTTTGATTGCAGGCTTTTTTTTTAATATTCTTCTCTCTCCACGTCAGTCTTTGTTTTTGGTCCTTTTGTATCTACCCTCTCTCTTAAAGTGTCTCTCTCTTCATCCATCATCATCATCATCATCAGAGAGGAGGATGAAGAGAGGAAGAGAGAGAGATTGTGCCGTCAGAGTCTGTTTCCATGGTTACTCCAGCATGGCGTCCAGTTGGTCGGCGAGGTCGTCGAACATGCTGCCGATATCGTCCAGGATGCTGACCGTCGTCTTCTGCTCTTCCATGGAGCTGCACACACACACACACACGCACACGCACGCACACGCACACACGCACACACACACACACACACACACACACACACACACACACACACACACACACACACAGAAGCACAACATTATAACAGTGGATTGGAAATAATAATGTCTTCTTAAAACCAAGCGCTTTGAGCGCCAGAGAAAGCGTTATATAAATGACATATATGTATTATATCTTTTACATATATATATATTTTTATTATATTAATAATGTAATTTCAATAAATACAAAATGCTGTGTATGTATGTGTATGTGTGTGTCTGCATGTATGTGTGTGTGTCTGCATGTATGTGTGTGTCTGCATGTATGTGTGTGTGTCTGCATGTATGTGTGTGTGTGCACGTATGTGTGTGTGTCTGCACGTATGTGTGTGTGTCTGCATGTATGTGTGTATGTGTACGTATGTGTGTGTGTATAAGATAAGATAAGAAGTACTTTATTGATCCAAATTTGGGAAATGTTTGATATGTGTGTGTTTGTATCTGTGTATCTATGTGTGTGTGTTTCTTGCGTTCTGTGTGTGTGTGTGTGTGTGTGTGTGTTTATTTGTGTGTGTGTGTGTGTGTGTGTGTGCTCCTTACTCCTCCTGCCTCAGGATCTTATCCTCCACGATCTGCAGCGCGGCGGCCAGCGAGGCGCTCGTCTCCTCCAGCTTCTGATGCACCAGCAGCTCCGGAGCCGTGACTCCGCCCCCCGTCATCCCGCTGTCCACGGACACCCCCCCGATCGAGGAGCGAGGCGGCTTGACGGGCGGGGGGGTGGGGCTGGGGGTGGCGGGGGTCTGAGGTGTGGTGGGGGTCTGGGGGGTGCGAGGGCTCGGGGGGGACGGGCTCAGCGGTTTGGCGTTGGTTGGACCGGGGATGTTGGCGGGGGGGAAATATGGCGGGGAGCTGGTCTGCCTGGAAACCACTGCATGATGATGGGGGGGGGGGCTGGTCATGGAGTGGATCAGTTTGGACGGTTTGGGGGCCGTCGGTGGGGGCGTCGGTTTGGGTGAGACTGGGGGCGGAATCTTCTTCCCTTCAACTACGGAAATGGAGAAAGTATGAATGTCAGGGTGAAGGACCAAAGGGCTTTATTGTTCTCTGCTGGATATGCACTGAACAACTTGAACCTATTGTCTACATCACCATGTGTCCTCTGTGTTCAGAGACTCGGGAAGTTTCAGGAACAAAGACCCCCTTTCTTTTTTTCCTGATCCATCCCCCGCCCACTTTATCACCTGAATCTCCTCCTATAAACATTGTGTTTTTTCAACCAATGATCTCTCAGAGGGGCGTGGCCAGCAGCAGCTCATTAGCATTTAAAGCTACAGACACAGAATCAGCACTTTTGGAACAGGGCTGAAACAGATAGAGTAGTAGACTCTTTTAAGTCCAAATGTATATTCATTTATATGAATATATTATATTGTAAATTATAGTGTTATCATGATACGTTCAATGTAAAATAAATAAACTAAAATAAACTTGAACAAACACAGTTGTTTGAAGGATATGTTCCCACAGCAATGTTTTGTTTTGGTTCTTTGACAGTGATATCTAATTGGCAACAAGAATTGTGAAATGTCCCTATTATTGGTACGACTACTAGAATTTCTTGTATTGTGAAATCCCTGAATATGAAGCTTGTTTTCTTTTCTTTTTTTGCATTTGGTTTAAAGGGGACCTATCATGCAAAATGCACTTTTGTACGTCTTTTATACATGAATATGTGTCCCCGGTGTTCCAGGGAACACACCAAGTGTCAGAAAACACAACCCTCTCTATTTTCCTCCATACCCAAATCTCTAAAAAAGGGGCTGCAACGGATATGATAAAAACTGCGTCTCCAGCGCTTTCGAACGGCAATGGCCGTGGCTGTCTCCTCCTGATTGGTGGAGTTGGCCCAATAGCCGTAGCGCTACGGCTATTGGGCCAACTCCACCAATCAGGAGGAGACAGCCACGGCCATTGCCGTTCGAAAGCGCTGGAGACGCTGTAGTACATATGCCAGGCCTGTAGGTGGTGCTGTTCTCACTGAATCTGCCCTTGCAAAAACAGAGCTAGAAATGGTCAAATTGAGCAAAATGAGGCATGGCTAAAATGTATGATCTGTTTGGTATTTTGAAAAACAAAAAGTATAAATATGCCTTATATAGGTATGGTCCTACACTATATTATTCAAATATAGCATGATAGGTCCACTTTAACTATTAAACACCTAGGAACACGCCGTCAAATTCAAACTAGGAAATGCATTTCCTGCTGAAAATGCGTGCGAATGCTGGAAGCTTCGCAAAGTTGTTGCTGAACTTAGCTGAACATGCAGAAAAAGCTGAATATTGTAGTAGTTGAATGGTGACTGTACAGTAGCTGCTTTTAGCTACAACAACCTAGTGAGTGTGCTGCTGAACTTAGCATGAACAGCATTCTCAACAAATAACCACCCCCATCTTTAACCCCAACAGTAGTGAACCTCCATCAGCGAGAGTACCTGGGCTTCCAGGCGTCCCCGGGCCAGGTAACGGGATCCTCCTGTTGGAGACCGGCTGAGGGGGGGTGGGCGGTCCTCCTTGCCTCTTTATCTGCGACACGATTGGCTTCGGGGAGACCGGAGGCTTTGGTTTTCTAACGGGAACGCCTTCAATCACCACCTGGTCCACGCTGTCTCTGCGGGGAACAGCAGTCGGCTGCGATTGTTGTTGTGGATGTTGTTGTGGATAAAGTGGATGTTGTTGTGGATGCAGTGGATGTTGTTGTGGAGGTTGTTGTGGATAAAGTGGAGGTTGTTGTGGATGTTGTTGTGGAGGTTGTTGTGGATGTTGTTGTGGATGCAGTGGAGGTTGGGGTTGCGGTTGCTCCGTCACTCCTTCGTCCGATCCTTGGCGGCGTTTCATGTTCGCGGTGCCGTTCTGGTAGGGAACCGGTTGGGTGGTGTTGGGTTCTCCGATGGCGGCCATCTCTGCGTAACCCTCCGGCTCCTTGTCGCGGCTCTTGGGTCGGCGCTTCACGGTGGACGATTCCTGCAGCGTGAAGTCTGAGCCATTGGGGTGAGGTTTGGAGCTTCGGGGGCGTCGCTTCAGGGTCGATGTGGTGGTGGACTCGACTCCGGAGATGTCCTCGTTGGTGAAGCCCACCTCTTCCCCGTCGCCCTGCAGACAAACACAAAATACACACTAACGGAAAATTCATACATTCGTGACAAGAGTGAATTTTTGCACAAACAGTCAGAAGCATTGACAAAGATAAACACGGATAAAGCTTACAGAGAACAGA